CAGCTGACCTTGAGGTCACAGGAGGGGCTGAGGCTGGGCCCGGGCCCGGCAGCTGGCGGCAGATCCTACTTGGGCTGTTAGGAAACCCCAGTGCGGGCGGGCAGCGTGCTGCACAGACAGGCGGGGCATCAGGGAACTAGGTGGCACCTGCTTAACCCCAACACAGCCATCAGCTCAGTCTGGGGGTGAGTGGTGGGACCTGCAAGACCCCAGGAGCTACCCAAGGATCTCCCTTCCTGGGGTCAGAGCTAGAGGGACATTGGGTCCTCCAAACCTGCTGTGGGCACTGGCTCCTTGAAGGTTACTCAGAGAAGCGGGGCCCTGCCCCCTCCCACTCAGGTCACCTATGGGGACATAGCAGGGGGTCCATGGCCCGCAGAGTCATGCCTCAGTCCACCTCAGATCTCAAAGGAGGCTTGGGGTAGACAAGGGACCCTAGCCATTTCAATGCACCATCTGCACCCAGGGGACTTGTGCCGACACTGGCCACCCGGCACGAGGGAGTTAATGGAGCTGAGACCTCGGGGCAGGGCCAGCCGACAGCTGCCCAACAGCAGGGAAGCCAGAGGGCAGGAGCAGCCAGCCCACCAGACCGCCCTTGCGCACTCTGCATGCGGGATGGCCCTGAGGAAAGGTGAGGCACCCAGGTGTCCCCTGCCAGTTGCCTCGGGGTCAGCCAGCCACTTGGACAAGGGCTGCGCAGGCCAGGGGAGCTGGGGGGGGGTCGGCTCTGGGTGGGTAGGCGGGGACATGGGTAGGTCTGGCACCAAAGGGTCTCTACTCCTTTCCTGGCGGTGGCACAGGGAGGGGAGGGCAGATAAGACAAGTGCTCAGCCCCTGGGCATATGTGGTGCAGGGATGGGGCAAGGGGCTCCTCATATTCCATAGAACAGATCTTGCCTGGGACGGTCCACCAGGTCGGAGCCTGCTGCCCTCCCTGCCTCTGTTCCTTTGTCCCTGGTGCCCTCACTCCTCACCCGCCTCTTTGGGCGCCATCTTGATTCCTGGGCTGGCCACCAGCACATCAGCACTCCAGCACCATTTCCACCTTGTGTGGAGGAACAGAGGGCGGGCGCAACACCACCCCTACCCTGCCCTAGAACTCTGGGAGCCCTCAGGGCAGCAACAGGACCCTTTAAAGGGGTTCTGGGCACTGTTGCTGGGGGGCTGCCAGGCCGGCCAGTCAGTGGGGCCCAGTGCCAGCCAAGTGGATGGTCTACATCTGTCCTGAGGTCTGCGCCCACACTAGTACCAGCATGGAATGCAGGCTGGATAGCAGGTGGGTAGTCCCCCCAGTCCAGGGTCTTCAGGGACAGGGACTGCCTGACTCCCTACACTCAGCTACTGAGAGCGACAAGCGGATAACCGGATCTTTTCCAGAATTTTCTGAAAATGGCCAGCGGCTTGGTTTCCTCCTCCTCTTCCAGGCCAGTGTGGCGCCTGACCTGGCTTGCACATTTGTCTCAAGGGGCACAGATGGCTACAAGGCCCAATGGCCAGGGGTGTGGAGTGTCTGTGCCCTCATTTTGGGCAAAGTGGGGAACCAGGCCCTCTGTTCCCACAGTGGGGCAGGGATGGCCACCTGCTGGCCCATGGGGTGGGTTTATCATGTGGCCAGTTTGCACTGTCCTGCCTGGCTTCTGCTTATGGTTTAAGTGGCTGACTGGCAGTTTCAGCTCACAAATGAGACCTTCCTCTTGCTGCAGCCGAGGCCTGGGGAAGTCTGAGGTCTGCTGACATCCTGGTACCTGCCAAACCCTTCTCTTCACAGGAGGCCTGGTCCTGATGGTGCTGCTCGTATGGGTAGCACTGGGGCCTCATGGCAGCCTGGAAGGAGCAGAGTCCAGAGCACTGGCATATGCTGAAGACCCACAGTGCCCAGCCACATGTGCCTGCAGCCATGGCTATGAGGATGGGCTCCATGTCTTCTGCAGCGCAAGAAACCTCACGAGGTTGCCTGATGGCATCCCAGACAGCACCAGGGCCCTGTGGCTTGATGGCAACAACCTTTCCTCAATCCCCCCGGCAGCCTTCCAGAATCTCTCGGGCCTTGACTTCCTCAACCTGCAGGGCAACCTGCTTGGCAGCCTGGAGTCGCAGGCACTGCTGGGCCTGCGGAATTTGTACCACCTGCATCTGGAGCAGAATCGGCTACGGAGCTTGGTGGCTGGCTCACTTGCGCACACACCAGGCCTTGCTTCACTAAGCCTCAGCAACAACCTGCTGGGCAGGCTGGAGGAGGGCAGTTTTCGAGGCCTCACCCACCTCTGGATCCTCAACCTCAGCTGGAACAGCTTGGTGGTGCTGCCTGATGCCGTGTTCCAGGGCCTCGCCAACCTCCGTGAGCTGGTGCTGGCAGGCAACAAGCTGGCCTACCTGCAGCCAGCGCTCTTCTGTGGCCTGAGTGAGTTGCGGGAACTGGATCTGAGCAGGAACATGCTGCGAAGCATCAAGGCCAATGTCTTTGTGCGCCTGCCCCGACTCCAGAAGCTTTACCTGGACCGCAACCTCATCACAGCTGTGGCCTCTGGCTCCTTCCTGGGTATGAAGGCACTGCGCTGGCTGGACTTGTCCCATAACCGCATGGCTGGCCTCCTGGAGGACACCTTCCCAGGGCTGCTGGGCCTGCATGTCCTGCGCCTGGCACACAATGCCATCACTAGCTTGAGGCCCCGTACCTTCAAGGACCTGCACTTTCTGGAGGAGCTGCAGCTGGGCCACAACCGAATCCAGCAGCTGGCAGAGAAGACATTCGAGGGCCTGGGGCAGCTGGAGGTGCTTACGCTCAATGACAACCAGATCCAGGAGATCAAGGTAGGTGCCTTCCTTGGCCTCTCCAATGTGGCTGTCATGAACCTCTCCGGCAACTGTCTCCAGAACCTTCCAGAGCACGTGTTCCAGGGCCTAGGCAAGCTGCACAGTCTGCATCTGGAAGGCAGCTGCTTGGGCCACATCCGTCTGCATACCTTTGCTGGCCTCTCGGGGTTGCGCCGCCTTTTCCTCAAGGACAACAGCATCTCCAGCATCGAGGAGCAGAGCCTGGGCGGGCTGCCCGAGCTCCTGGAGCTTGACCTCACCTCCAACCAGCTCACACACCTGCCCCCCAGGCTCTTTCAGGGCCTGGGCCAGCTGGAGTACCTGCTCCTTGCTCGCAACCAGCTGTTGGCACTTCCTTCGGACATTCTGGGTCCCCTGCAGCAAGCATTCTGGCTAGACCTCTCGCACAACCGCTTGGAGGTGCTGGCAGAGGAAGTCTTCTCACCCCTGCGGCAGCTGCGCTACCTCAGTCTCAGGAACAACTCCCTACAGACCTTTGTGCCGCCTCCTGCCAACCTGGAGCGCTTGTGGCTTGAGGGCAACCCATGGGCCTGCTGTTGCCCCCTGAAGGCACTGTGGGACTTTGCCCTGCACAGCCCCAGCGTTGTGCCGCGCTTTGTGCAGGCTGTGTGTGAGGGAGATGATTGCCAGCCTGTGTACACTTACAACAACATCACCTGCATCAGCCCTGCCAGCGTCTCGGGCCTCGACCTGCGGGACATTAGCGAGGCCCACTTTGCGCACTGCTGACCCAAGTCTGCTGGCCCCAGTGCTCCTGCTAGGCTGGCCCTGGCCTTTACGATGGGTCTTCACTGTCCCCAGGGGCCTGGAGGGCATGCTGTTCCTAGCTATGGGGACCAGCCCTGGCCTGTTCACTACCTGCGGAACAGTCCTGGCAGGTGACTGACACAGGCTCAGGAGAGGCGGGCACGGGTGGGTGCCCACAAGCCTTATCAGTAGGGTGGGCACGTAGTAGCTCTTTCCAGCTGTCCACAAGTAAAAGCTAACAAACACAGTGTGTGACCTTGAGAATTAAGCCGATGCAAAGTGGGGCAATGTCACCAGTGTTCTCATTTCTTTTACCCATGATCACTCCCTGTGCTGTCCTGGCTCTGTCTGTCCCCAGACCCCCACCAGACAGGTCTCAGAAGCCACCCCCTCATTCCTGTGCATGTTACCACTTCTCTCCTCCCAGGCCTCACAGCTGATACCCTGGCGTTATGTTCTCCCTCTTTGGGGTACTGCACAGAGACCAGGCAGTGTTTTCTCAGTGGCAGTGGTCAGGGCCTGCACCTCATCCCGATGCTGCCCACTGCTGGCAGACTGGTTAGTGCTGGGGTGAGATGTGAGTCATGGTAGCACTGCCATGAGCCAGTGGGGGAGCAGACTAGGGCACAGCTCATCCCTTCCCCACAGGTTACAGGAAACGCTGCCCGAGTGGGCCCTGAGCCCTATCCCAATCCTCCTCTGGAAGGCCTGAGCTTCTCTTCCCTTTGAAGGACCATGCCATGGTTCTGCTTTCTGCATTGCATTTCCTCCCTGCCCTTATGGGGAAACGTGAGGAAAGGGCCCCTAGGATGCTTGGCCTGCTTAAATCTGACTTCCTGGTCTAAGATTTTGGCTCAGGCCTCCCCTGGTATGCCCACAGAAGGCAGTTCTATCAACACCAAGAATGGCCACCCACAGGTTTCTAATATCAAAATATTGTCAAGCTCCCCCAGATGAGATGGAGGAACATTCTCAGCTATCAGGGCCCTGGAACAATGAAATTAACAGTGACTGGTCCTGTTGCGGAAAGCTTAGAAGCAAATGCTATCATCCCTAGAACAGATGTGAAACGCCAGACTCATGATCAAGGCGGTGGGATGCATTTAATGGCAGCTTCCTTTAGTGCCCGAGGCCAGTTCACCACATTAAGGAAGCTGCCCTGACGGCACAAGTACTCACAGGGCCCAGGCCACCAGAAGAAGGCAGAAGGTCTGGGCCAGCTTGGGAACCATGTGGACAGCCAGTTGTCAGGAACATTCTGTCTGGGACACTAGACCAGAGAAGAGGCCAGTGAGTTGTTGGCTAAGACCACCACTATCTTAAGGTACCAGGCCCAACCAGGAGTGATGGCGCACACCTATAATCCCAATACTTGGGAGGCTGAAGCAAAAGGATTGCTATGAGTTTCAGGCCAGCCTGGGCTACACAGTGAGCTCAAGACCAACCTAAACTATTAGTGAGGCACTGTCTCAAAAAATAAAACAAAACACAAAAAAAAAGGCAGCAGGCCTGAGCTGTCCTTCAGCCACAGGCCAGCCACATGGAACTAGTGTCAGTGTGCACCACTTGTGACAAAACCCCTCTGAGGACAGGGCCAGGCAGGTGACACTCACACAGCGATGGTGCCTGACCAGTGCTGTAGGTCCCAGGATGTACCTAGGATCTCTGCCGTGGAAAGTCCTGGAGGCTGTCTGCGGACAGCCTTGTGGAGGGGCTGTCAGGACAGCGTGGCGGGCAAACCGTCTAGAATTTTCCGAGCTATGGAGGTGAGTACAGGAAATGCAGGGCTCTTGGGGAACTCCTGGGTGAGGTCGTGGCCCTCCTCCAAACTTCTGGTGAGCTCGGGGTCCAGGGGAACAGAGCCTGAAAAGAGAGAGAAGAGTCTGGGAGGAGAAGGTGGCACCATGAGGCCCCATGTCCAAGCACCACCTGCTGCCAGAGGTTGTGCTACTGTCTTCGTCAGGCCAACTCCTGCCTCTCCTGATCACCCACTTGAAAGATAAGGAGTGGGAGGGCTGGGGATTTAGCTCAGCGGTGAAGTGCCTGCCCTGCAAGTGCAACGTCGTGAGTTCGATTCCTGGTACTGGAAGATAAACAAAAAAACAAACAAAAAAAAAGGGAAGATAAGGAGTGGGGACCACAGTGTCCCCAGAGAAGATCCCAAAATGCCAGCTGGCTGCTGGGCAGCATCCTGTCTTCTGCTCCTCTGGGGTCTCTGTGAGCATCAGCCTTCCACATTGCTGGTAACTGGGGGGTCAGTTGGTGGCAACACTTCACACTGATGGCACAGGTTCCCCACACTAAAATGGGTACAGCCGCATCCACCCAGGGCCAAGGCAAGATGGGGAGCTGAGACCTACTTTCCACACTCACCTAAGAAGGGGACTCCGGCGAGCCGGGCCAGGTCCTCCCCGCCACCCTTGGAGAAGATGCTGGTACACTCCTAGGAGACAGGGGCTGTAAGGGCCCAGCTCATTATGTTGAAGGCCAGGGGCTGACAGTGACTGGTCTGAAAGCCCTGCCTGACCTGGTTTGTACCTGTGCTTGTCAACCCTGGCACAGCCCCAGCAGTTTCCCAGGACTCACCGCACAGTGTGGGCAAGCGAAGCCACTCATGTTCTCCACAACCCCCACCACTTGCAGCCCTGTCTTCTTGCAGAAGGTCAGCTCTCGCCTCACATCACCCACAGACACCGCCTAGACAGCAAGAGACCTGGGCTAGTCAGCTGCAAACTCAGCCAAGCATTGCATAACGAATAGGGAAAACTGGTCACCATAGCCGAGCCCAGTGGAGAGACCACACATGCCGGAGATGGGTGTAGCTGTGGGTGGTACCTGTGGTGTGGTGACCACAAGGGCCCCCAAGGGCCTGTAGGGTCGCAGTGCTTCCACCACAGCCATGTGCTCATCAGAAGTCCCTGGGGGTGTGTCCACCACCAAGCAATCCAGCTCCCCCCAGGCCACGTCGGACACAAACTGCTTTATCAGCGCTGCAAAGACCCGGAGAAAGAGGTGAGTTGGTCTGTGCTATGTGGACCAGCAAGCTGAAAAAAGGCACCTTATTCAGGAGGCACCTCACCAGCCTGGAGGCCCTGGGACTACTTGCAGCACAAGGCTGAGGCAGTGAGGGCCCTGCTGGGGGTTTTCACTAAGGGTAGGGGAGCAGAACATAGGAGGTGGAGCCTGTCCCTGCCCCTACAATACTACTTTCTCCCCTGTTGCTGTGCTGCCCCCAGCACCCAGCCCTGTCTCCACAGGCCCACACTGCAGTGACTGCTAAGGCCTCAGCTCAGGAGGGAGCCACAGCCTCCTGGGGGTGTCTGCACCAAGCTCTCAAACCTGTGTGAGCACCTGGTGTGAAAAGTCTTGCAGGTGTATCCAGGACCTACCCTGTACTGGTTACTCATCCCAGCAGCCCCTCACTGCAATTCCAACAGTTTATTGTCACCTGCTGCTCCGAGGAACCACAGCTTGACCTCACAAACCCCCAACCCAACCCCATTTGAGAGGAGGGAGGGCAGCCCTCCATTTCTGGCCCCCTTTTTTTTTTTTGTCATACTGGGGACAGAATCCAGGGCCTTCAAGCTGAGCTCCATCTCCAGCCCCCGCCCTATTTTTTTTTTTTTCCAGTACCAGGAATCGAACTCATGACTTTGCGCTTGCCAGGCAAGCACTGTGCCACTAAGCTAAAACCCCAGCCCCTCCAGCCCTTTTTATTTTACCTTGAGGCCAGATTGGGCACAAACTTAATGATCCTCTTGCCTCAGCTTCCCAGAATGCTGGGAGTGCAGGTCTGTGCTACAACACCTGACCCCCTTCAAAGTTTTTTAATTCTGAGCTCTGAGAAGTCAGCTGGAAGAAGTTGGAAGGCCACCTGTGCCTGCCCGCTTGCAGGGTCATTACCATTCTTCTTGGGGCCTCTCCACACCACTGCCTCATCTGGATTCTCCAGCAGGAAGCCCACGGACATTAGGGAGATGCTCTGCTCCCGATCCACAAAGACAGGCACCCAGCCACGGTCACACTGGTGTACAGCCCTGCCCTGTGCTCGAAGCATGCGTGGGATGCTGGGGCCACACAGGTCTATGTCCAGGATCCCCACCTGCATAAGGCCAGATGGCACAGGCTCAGCAATGACCGGGTGCAGGGATCAGGCAGTTGGCACTAAGCCAGTGCTCAGGGAGGGGCCTCACCTTTTTGCCTTCATAGTGCAGTGCCAGGGCCAGCTCGGTAGAGATCGTGCTCTTCCCCACACCTCCCTTTCCCGAAAGGACAAGGATGATGTGCCGCACACCAGCCAGGTTCCCAGGTTCTGGAGAGAAGCACAAGTTGGGAAGTTGGGTGTTTTCCAGGGGCCACAGGCCCTCGCAGTTCATTTACTTGAACAGTATCACGAAACACGGCCCCTGTACCAAATTCTGAGGACAAAAGCTAATGGGGTGCTCATCCCTTCTACCCCACGTAAGCAAAGACCTCCAGGTAAAAACAAGGTCTTCTAGCAGCTCCAGACTGACCTATTCCCACACCTGTCTTGTCAAACTACTCTCCAAGCAAAAGTACCCCGGGGCCTACAGGTGTAGGGGTAAGCTGATGGCGCTGAACACCCGGTGAAGTCACAATCACTCCCACGTGTCACCGCACCACCTGGCTGGGAGGTCGCGCTCCCGTGCGCCCTGCGGCGCGCTCAGGACCAGGACTGCGACGAGGCGTGCCTGGGAGGCACTGGTGTCCCGCACTGGCCACCCCCTTCGCAGGCAGCGGCCGGCCGCACAGACCCTGCCAGACCCGCACAGATTCCCCGCTCCCGCACGCCCGCCCCGGACCGCAGAGACTCTCCTAGACCGGCACTGACTCCCCGGGGTCCGCAGACACTTCCCCCGATCCGCAAGCTCACCAGCCGCCGCCTCCATCCTGCCGCCACTTGCGCTCACAGTTCCTTCCGCCACCCCAGCGCACCTCGGGCCTCCAGTCAGAGTGAAGAGCCCGCCCCTGGTTTCTTTTCACGCTCCCCCAGCCAATCAAGTAGTCCGAGGGCTTGCCAAGCTGTGCCCTCAGGTTCCGGCGCAAAGGGCGCAGCGGTGCAAGAGCTACTTGCTCCCGCGTCCAATGGGCGTGCGGGGGTCGCCTCCAACTGTCACCAATGGGGAGGTCGGAACAAGACCGACAGATCTTGTAACCTCTCAGGAGCAGCCGTGTCTATCGAAACCCGCCCCTACGGGAAGTCCCGACATGGCGCGCCCGCCTCCGGCCTCCCGGCCAATGCGACGTGGGGGCGGGGATTGTTTACGTCTCGGGCGGAGCGGAAAGTGGGTCACGACCCGCGGACCCCAGCAGCGGTGGCAGGTGAACGGCGCCCGGCCCGGCCCGGCCGGCGGGCGCAGCCCTGACCTTGCTGAGGGGGAGGCCAGCCTCTTTGTCCTGCGGGGCCGGCGGCAGGAGGCCGGGCTGCGGCCGAGGGGTCGGGCACCATCTGCAGCGTTGCCGGAAGCCGAGGTCGGTGAAAGGCAGCCCTGGGCCTTGCGGGTGGTCGAGGGCGGCGGGCCTCGGCCTGGGGCAGCCCGCCGGGTCGTACACTCGGCGCGGCCAACGAAGGGCAGCCAGGGCCTGAAATTGGGGTCTGCAGGGTTCGGGAGGCATTCGGGCAAAAGGCAGGACAGCACCGGCCAGTGGACCGAGACAGCGGACTCGGGAGACGAAGAACTAGAATCAGCCCATGCGCCTTATCCCGGAAACAGTGGCAAGCTTTGAACAGATCTTAAATTTATTTCCAAAAGAGAGCTTGGCTGTAGGGTGGGAGGCGGGAGGAGTCGAGCGGGAGAGTTATGCAGTTCGGGAGATGGTGTTTAGGCCCCAGCGAGAGCGAGGATGGCTGCAGGTGTGGCGGGAAGGAAGAGGACGAGTCAGGGATGACTGCGGTGCTTCTGGCATGAGGAACTGGAGGTTGGAGATGCCATTTGTCAAACTGGACAGCGGAGGAGGAGCGAATCGGGTGTGAGATGCCCGAGGGGCACCTGGGCTCCAGAGTGGAACTCCAAGGTGGGCTGAGTGGTGTGTCTTCCAGTCATGGGTGTTTGGGTGGTGTTTCACACCATCTCCTTCGGTTTGATCAAGGTGCTCAGATACTGGAGCCAGGTACGGACTTGTGAAGAGTTCCAGAGCCCCAGCTCAGCATCCACTGCCATGGAGCCCCCACCCTTGGGTGGGTCTGTGGGCCAACCTGCCAACTGGGGGCCAAGTTCCGAGGGCAGAGAACTGGGATGGGGTCTTTAGGACACGTTCCTGTGGGCAGTGTGTCCACCTGGCTCAGGACCTGTTTTCCTCCAGGTCCTCTTCACCATGGCCAGGCGACCCCGGAGCAGCAGGGCGTGGCATTTTGTCCTCAGCGCAGCCCGCCGAGATGCGGATGCCAGGGCTGTGAGCCTGGCAGGCACCCCTAACTGGGGCTACGACTCTGATGGGCAGGTAGGTTCCAGTAGCAAGGTGGGCATGGCTGGCTTAAGAGCAGGGAATCAAAGAGAAATGTTCCTGAGGATAGGCTGACTTCTGGGTGTGCCATGTGCAGCCAGGCTCTGATCTAGCAAAGGTCATACAGCTCTGGAGTAGCAGGACCTTAGGACAAGGTTGTTTATTTCTTTCCTTTCTTTTTTTTTTTTTTTTTGAGATAGGGTCTTGCTGTGTAGTTCAGGCTGGCCTTGAACTCACTATGTAAACCAGGATGGCCTCGAACTCACAGCAATCTTCCTGCCTCAGCTTCCTGAGTGCTGGGATTATAGCTGTGGGCCACCACACCTGGCTAAGCATGGGTTCTTTCCCATTCTTTTCTGTGATGATTCTAGTATGGGAGAGATTGACTGATGGCCTCTGGTCAGTTTGTACAACAGAAATTTTCTATTTTGTCTGCCCAGCCAGTTTCCAGAGAACTGTTGTTGAGTTGCTGTGTCTTTCCAAGTGTCTTTTTCTGCAGTGCAAATATGTTCTCTGTATTCAATTACACACGTGTAAAAGAGGACTGTGATTTTTTTTCCTGGCAGTACTGGGATTGACTCAAGATCTTCACTCTGAACTGTATCCTGAACCCTTTTTTGAGATAGTATCGCAAAATACTGGCTTGAACTTGTTATTCTCTTGCCTCAGCTTCCCAGAGTGATGGGATACAGTGTGTACTACCTCGTCTGAGCTCAGGTAGGCCCAAGAAAGTGAGGTGGCCAGAAGAGGCTCAGCTCTGTACCCATCTGTAGCCAGACCTGTAGGGCAAGCTGAGAGGCCTTTATCCCTGATGCAGTGCAGTGAGGTGAGGAGGGGGCACCTGGGGTGGCTTTTCATTTGGCTTCCTGAGGTTGAACAGTTGTAGCCCTATCCATTGTGGCCTGGTCCACACAGAAGGCCTGGCCAGGTATGGTCTCTTCTTTGGCTTTGTGGGAGAAGTTGGAGGCAAAGGTTTACTGGCCTGGCTGACAGCATTTCAGGGCCTCCTGAGCAAGAGAGGCTAGCCTACATTCCTTCCATGCCTCTAGCTCCCTCTGACCATGAGGCTTGAAGCAGTCTATTGCTTGTGTCCCTGCCTCACAGGCTCGTGGCTATGGGGTGCAGGTGGTGTCTGGGCTGGGCAGTGTGACACATGCATGCTGTTTGTTCTCTGTCACTTAATGGGCCTGAGGTACCTGTGTGGGCAGGTACAGGTAGTCACCCTAGGTGTTTCTCTTCCCTCTGCTCCAGTGCTGTCTTTAAGGCTGGTCAAGGGCCAAGTCTGCCTCCTCCTCAGAGGTCAGTTTGACCTTGTGTTCTGGCTCCTGACTCAGTGAGCTTGCCTTGGTGTTGGGAGCCCTCCTATGCTGGTGGGGTAGTCTCCTGGGCCTCCCTTGTCTGGGGGCAGAGCCTCTTTCCAGGTAGAATGGCCTGTGTGCATTTTGGGGCTGCCTGAGCTTCCTGTGTGGTGGTTCCCTGTGGCTGCTCCTCCTTGGGGACAGAGTCCACTTGAGCACATACTTAGAGGTCTTTAGGCAGTTTCCCCGCAGGTATGCAGGAGACTTTCTCACCTATTTAAGATACCATGTGGCCTCATTAACAGAAAACTTGAACAGTTTTAGAAGAGTCCTCCTTGGATGAGTTCAGGATCTAGGGGGAGGGGGAAGCAAAGAGGACACTTGTGGAGGAAAGTGAAGTATAATGAAAGGAATCTGGGAAAGGGTCCTTTGGAGCCTGGTAATGGTGGCACATGTCTGTTATCCCAGCAGTTTAGGAGGCTGAAACAGGAGGATCTCAAGTTTAAGCATAAAGGGATGGGGATATAGCTCAGTGGTAGAGCTCTTGCCTTGCATTTACAAGGCCCTGCGTTACATCCCCAGCACCACACACACATACACATAAATTGCTGATACTTCAAGTTAAAGCCTAAGCTGGGCAACTCAGTAAAGCCCCATCTCAGAATTTTAAAAGGGTTGGGTTGATGTCCGAACTCTCTATCCATGGCAAAGGCAGTGACTACAGTGCCCCGCAGCAGAGCTGGTGTGGGTAGACATGGCAGAGAGGGCAGGACTTTGGATGAGGACTGGCTTTAACGCTTGTCAGCAGGACCCTGTGGTGTGACAGGGACTGCTCAGATTTTAGGTCACCTGAGCTGCTGGGTAGGTGTATGGCAGGGAGGCTGGAGTAGGGGCCAGGACCCATAGGGCTGATGGAGCAGGCTGGCACAGAATAGTTGTACCTTCCCTGGCCCCTGAGCAGGTTGGCCTGGGGTCTAGAGCTGAGGCAGGTATCTCAAAGGCCTGCATAACATGGAAGTAGGAGAGGCTGTGGAGACACCCTCTTTGGCTGCTCTCTTGGAGGGCCTGTGGGTTGGCTTGTTGCTGGAACCTGCCCAGTTCAGCTGTGGTGTCTGACCACTGGGCCAACATCAGGCCTGGGAACTTGGAACTTGAACCACAGGACTGTGTCCCTCTGGAGGTAGTGATACAGTCCTGGCTGCTTCCTATAGCAGCAGCAGCAGTGTGAGCCCACTGGGCCCTACAAGAGTACCCCCCTTGGCTTCAGGGACAAGCCCTCAGCCCAGGACAGGCTCAGGCCCCACACGGGTCTGTCGGGGATGGGCCTATGTCTTACCTGTCATCAAGAAGCTGTCTTTTGAAAGCTAGAGGGCAGAGCTGCTAGGCCCTGCTTTGGATATCCATGGTGGCTCATTATCTTGGGCCCCCATATTGTGCAGAACTGGGTTGTGGCTCAGCTAGTCTGTCAGGTATTAGCACTGAGAGTGAGCTATGCTGTGTACCTGTGACCCCAAGGAGTCCTCGGTGGAGTACAACAGTCTGGCCTATGGTTTTGTTGGAGGTGAGTGGTAAATGGAGGGTGGGTGACCAGTAGGAACAGCTTCCCCTTCTCTTCTAGCACAGTGACTCGGACTCTGATCCAGAATACTCATCTCTGCCGCCATCCATCCCCAGTGCTGTGCCTGTGACAGGGGAGTCCTTCTGTGACTGCGAGGGCCAGAGTGAGGCTGCCTTCTGCAGCAGTCTGCACATGGCCCACCGTGGCAAGGACTGCCGCTGCGGAGAGGAGGATGAGTGTGAGCACCTGGGGCAGACCCTCCTGGGATGTGCAGGTAGGCCTTGTGGCTCTGGGGCCTTCCTCAGCCTGGGCCTCTCTGTTTTGATTTTGCAGATTTTGACTGGGTCTGGGATGACCTAAATAAGTCGCCGGCCACCCTTCTTAGCTGTGATAACCGCAAGGTCAGCTTTCACATGGAGTATAGCTGTGGTACTGCGGCTGTCCGGGGCACCAAGGAGCTGGGGGACGGCCAGCACTTCTGGGAGATTAAGATGACCTCACCTGTCTATGGCACTGATATGGTAAGTGGCCATTGGCCTGAGGACAGCCACCATAGCCCTGGGCCCAGTAGCCCCTGCTTAACCCCACTGTCCCCAGATGGTGGGCATTGGGACATCAGATGTGGACCTGGACAAGTATCAGCACACGTTCTGCAGCCTGCTTGGCAGGGATGAGGACAGCTGGGGCCTGTCCTACACAGGTGCGTGTGGCCTAGGTGGGGCAGGCTGGTGGGAAGGGCGGCATGTGGGTTTTGGGCTCACATACCCAGCTGTCTCCAGGGCTTCTCCATCACAAGGGCAACAAGACAAGTTTTTCCTCGAGGTTCGGCCAGGGCTCCATCATTGGTGTGCACCTGGATACCTGGCACGGGACGCTGACCTTCTTCAAGAACAGGAAATGCATAGGTGAGGGCCCAACTGTGTGGCTTCCCTTGGCCTGACCTTGGAGACCCAGAAACCCAAGGCCTCAGGGTCCTGCTCTGTGTGCGTGTACACATACATAGCTCAGGCCAAGCTGGAGTCCCCTGGACCTGGGTGGGGTGGGGCGGTGGGGTGTGTGTGTGAGAGAGAAACCCAAGGCCTGGAGTCCCCTGGACCTGGGGGTGGTGGTGGTGTGTGTGTGAGAGAGTGAGAGTGAGTGTGTGAGAGTGAGAGAAAGAGAGAGAGAGAGAGAAACCCAAGGCTCTGTGTGCATGTACACATACATAGCTCAGGCCAAGCTGGAGTCCCCTGGACCTGGGTGGGTGTGAGAAACCCAAGGCCTCAGGGTCCTGCTGCTCTGTGTGCATGTGTGTATGCATACATAGCTCGGGCCAAGCTGGAGTCCCCTGGACCTGCATCCTCCCTTACAGTTGCACAAGCTCCCCTTGGGCCCCCCAGCATGGTGTGTGGGGAGGGCAGAGCCTGGCAGGCAGACCTCCCCTCCCTGTCTTCCTTCTAGGGGTAGCAGCTACCCGGCTACAAAACAAGAAGTTTTACCCAATGGTGTGTTCTACAGCAGCAAAAAGCAGCATGAAGGTGATCCGTTCTTGCGCTAGCATGACTTCCTTGCAGTACCTGTGCTGCTACCGTCTGCGGCAGCTGCGACCAGACTCAGGGGACACCCTCGAGGGCTTGCCCCTGCCACCTGGCCTTAAGCAGGCACTACACAACAAGCTAGGCTGGGTCCTGAGCATGAACTGCAGCCACCACAAGCCTGCTGTGTCCTCACCTAGGGCAGCAGAACTGACGAGCCCCAACAGCCCAGAGACCAGGCCCTGCCAGAGAAAGCGCTGCCGACGGACCTGACTTTATTTCTGATGAAGACTGCCTTCTTAGCCTGTGACTGGCATTCTCTCCACCCCTGCCCTCGTTCCATCAGGCAGGCAGGAGAGAGGAGAGCTGGGCTGAAATCCATCTGGGGTTGTTCGATCTCCCCCAGGGCCAGCAGTCTTGCTCCAGGGGCTCCAAGGCCCCAGTCTGTGAGTCTACCCAGCGGCCTGTGCCGGGCAGGGTAGAAGCCATACCTGTGCCGCTAGCATCTCCTTGAGTGTCTGGGAGGAGCAGCCTGAGCATCTCTGGACCCAGACTGTGGGCCTGGGAGGCTGGGGCGCAGGCGTCCACTGCCCCAGGGAAGAGAAGGGCTCTGCTGGGGCCGTTCTTTCTGTTCCTGCCAGATCTGGGTTTTTTCTTAGCTCGCTTTGCATGTTGTCAGCTGCTGCTCCTGTCACAGAGACTTTAGTAATTGTAACAGATGCCCACACAGCTGTAAGATTAAAGAGTCCACCTCAAGGCCTTGGGCACTCGTGTGTCCAGTTTTCCTCCTGTCAGTTCTGGCTGTGTCCAACAATTTGAAAGGGGCAAGCCTGGTTCTCCTCTCCCAAGATCTCTCACTCCTCCCAAGGAAGCCTCCCCTCAAACATCTGCTTGGGTGCTGCCTGACAGCCCCTTCTAGACACATGCCCTGCTTGGTTCCCTTGAAGCCAGAGGGTTCACAGCCAAGAGTCCTCATCTTCTCCAGGTCTTTTTGCTGCCTTCCAACTCTGGATTGGGGAAGAGCAGGTGTTTCTACTCATTTCAGAACTTCTCTCCACTGTTCACCCTCCCATGAAGCTTGGGACCTGGCCAACCAGGGACTGAGTCCATTCTAGTCTACGTTAGGTGGGCTGGGGTCTTGCCTTTCAGTGTGTCCAGTCCTTGGGTTGGGCTATATACTATCCTGCTGACGGATGTGGGAGGAAGCCCAATGGGTGTCCTCCAGGTCCAGCAGGAGGGTGTACTCAGGAGCCCAGGTCCAGCAGGAGGTCAGGGTTTGTGGTGGTCAGGAAGAGGCAGATTCTTCGGGAGAGGTCAGGCCCCACCCTGCGGTGCTGCCTGCCTTTGTGGGCCTTCACAGGGAGGTCAGCTAGGAGGCCCAGGCGCTCCTGTTCTGTGCGGCAGGCCAGGAGTGCCTAAGACAGGAACTGACATGAGCAGGGTGGGCCTTGGGGACCTGGTCTCCATTCCTGGGAAGGGAAGGGGACACTTGGTGGGACTTACCTGCTGCAGAAGGCGGGGGGAGGGAAAGGCAGCAACCACAGCATCAGCTACAGCTGGGCTGACCCTGTTAAACTGCTGGATCTGCTTCTGCCACACCCGCCGCAGCCCAGAGCCATCTCTGGCCACTCTCTGGCCTGAGGCCCAACGCCCTGCTGTACAGAAGGAAAAGGCCTGGGAGTCCCGGTATTGCCTACAATAGGAAGGGTGGGCATAGGGACCTTTCAGAGGCTGGCCTTCTGTACCCCTCCAGCTCAGCAAAACCTTCCTGCTCTCAGCAGGCATTTCCTCCACCCCTGGGAGGCGGTCCTGTCTCAGCCCTGGGCAGGGACACATACTTGGAGGGACGCTGGGCAAGAGCTTTGGTGAAGGAGCATACATGCTGACTCAGCTCCTGCCATGAGGCCACCAACAGCACGTCCAGGTCTCTGATGAGCTGCAGAAGGACCAAGGCCTGGGAAGGCAAGCCATGGGTATGGGTGAGGGTATATCCATGAGGAGAGTAGCCCCCGTACTAGGACAAAGCCAACTGTGCCACCCAACCCAGGCCGGCCCTTACCTCTTCCACCTCAGGCCAACCAATGGTCAGCTGGGCCTGGGCCACCTCTGGACTCTCTGGCTGCTGTGTCCCCTGGGCACTCAGCTGGTGAGATCTAAATAGAAGTAACCATCCTGCCAGTCCCCACATACCCTCAGTCCTACCCTCCCTGGGTGCTGCTTCGACCAGAGCCTATCCTGGGCAACAGGACTCACACAGCACCCTGTAGAGCCACCCTCACATTTTCCAGGAACCCATCTGAGCCAGGTTTGCTAAAGCCATTAAGGTGAACAGTACCGCAGGTAGGCATCCAGCCCGATGACAGCCACGTGGGGGCGGGCAGGGCTCTTGGTAGAAATCCAGGGCATAGAGCAGGGTGGGCCTGAGGCCTGAGGCAAGAATGTACAGCACACCTGTTCACACCTATTGACAGGAAGTCTGTGGCACCAGAGTCACGGGCCACCAACCCACAGCCAGTTTGCAGAAAAGGAGCAGAGTCTCAAGAATACAAGTCCTGTGCCTCTCTCTAAGGTCAAGAAGGCGGAGGAGAACCTCCCCTGGGAACACCCAAGGTTCTAGAAGAGCTGGACCCTTGTTCCTAGCCACCTTTGTACCCCAGGTAGGCATCTACCTGGCATGCATCAAGTGCTCAACAAATGCTGACCCTTGGATACTGGGGCCTAGCAGAAGATCTAACTTAGGCATGCCCAGCACAACCGTTAGGTAGGCATTCTGTTTCTCCAACACAGGCTACTGAGCACCCCAATAAGGGCTGGGATGTTGGCTGTTGTAGGCAAACCCTACTCTCAACATCTCTGCAGTTTCTGACCAGAGAAAATCCCTAGCCCACCTGTGCCTCTCTCCCCTAGGGTGAGAACCAGGGAAGCTACACTGCCTGGCTCCAAGACCGGGATGCAGAAGGACAGCACCTGGGTAAGCTGAGTCACACCCTGCAGAAATTCTTCTGGCTCCAATAGCAGCAGCAGCTCCTGGTCCTCTGCAGCCCACACCTCAGGAAGCACCTGTGGGGACACCCAGGGCTGCTGCTCAACCTCAGCCTGGGTCCCCAGGGCCAACACTGGCACTGCAGCAACTCCCCCTGCCACACCCAGGCCTGCTTTCTAGAAACCTCATGTCAGGTTCCAACTGGCCCTAACCCCAGGCTCACTGAGGGGCAACAACCTCTGGCAGCAGCTGAGGGCTGGCTTTTTACTAGCTGAGTAGTGGGGGAAGCGGGATGTCTCAGTCCACCCCTCTGCCCGATTGTCTGGGACCAGAGCTGCACTCTCAGGGGACACTCACGCCTGGGGCCTGGGGGTCAGGCCTCACTCCACTCCACTGCAGGCTTCGGGCTGGACTCTGCGGCTCAATGCAGCACTCACAGCCCAGGGCGCTCAGTGCCTCCATCAGGATGTCTGAGCCGGCATCTTCCAGGACAGCTGGGCCATGGGGTACAGTTCAGTCACTATCCGCTTCCACCCAGAACTGGTGGGGTGCGGGCACAGACCCTCAGCAGGCTCACCACCCCCCACGCCTCGTGCTGCTCTTCCCTAGAGTGACAGCCCACAGAGCTAGCCCCCTGGCCTGGCGGGGGACCCCGGCCCCAGGAGGCAGGAAGGACACGCGCCTCCATCTGAGTCAGATGGGCTATGCCCTGCAGACTGTTACGGAACCGGGGCCCACGTCCCTGCACCTGGGTCCAAGCACACCGTCAGGCGTTCCAAGGCCTTCTCCGGCTGCCGTGCCTCAGGTGCTAGCCTGAGCTCCCCGGCCGCGCTCCGGGCCCCAGCGCCAGCCTCCGCCGTAGCGTCGCCTTCAAAGTCCGAGTCCGAGATCTCCCAAGTCGGGAGCCGTCTCAGGCCCCGAACCCGTGTCCTTCGCGAGCCCGCGGCTCTCCCAGGTCTAGACTCAGTCATGGCGCACCCTCCTCTCCGCTTCCGGCCGGGCCCGGACACCTTTGCCTTGGACACCAGCCGCTTCCGGTGTGGGAGGGCTCGGGGCGCGCTAGTTTCCGGTGGGCTTCCGGCTCGGTTGCAACTATGGCACGTAAGAAGGTGAGGCCGCGGCTGATCGCTGAGCTGGCCCGCCGCGTTCGTGCCCTGCGCGAGCAGCGGGAGCGGCCGAGCGACTCGCAGCGCTACGCCCTGGACTACGAGACCCTGACGCGGCCGTACACTGGCCACCGGCTCCCAGTGCGCGCCTGGGTCGATGTGCGCCGCGAGAGCCGCCTCTTCCAGTTGCTCAGCCGCCTGCCGCGCTTCGGCCTGGGCCGCCTAGTCACGCGCAAGTCCTGGCTGTGGCAGCACGACGATCCGTGCTACTGGCGCCTCACGCGCGTACTGCCCGACTACACGGCGCAGGTGCGCGATCTCAGTCCAGCCCCCTGCTCCGCCCGGGTCCCGGGTTGAGCGGCTTTCTGAGTTTACCCACCCCTTTTGCTCCGCAGAATTTGGACCACGGGAAGGCCTGGGGCGTCCTGACCTTCAAAGGTAAGGCCGGGGCTCGGGAGCGCGGCGTGGGCGGCAGTGCGTTTCTCGAGCGCGCGAACAGCCCCCTGCCTTTCCTCAGGGAAGACGGAGAGTGAGGCCCGGCAGATCCAGCATGTTATGCACCACGACTGGCGGGTGGTGCCCAAGCACGAGGAGGAGGCCTTCACAGCATTCACGCCAGGACCCGAAGACGACGTGCGCCTCGTGCCCTATCCGCCACTGCTCCGCGCCATGATCCTCGCGGAACGGCAGAAAAGTGGGAATCCTAGCACGGAGGAACCCCTGCTGAGCCTAGAGAGGACGCTCGCGGATCCTTGGGACTACCCTGAGAAACTGGAGGCCAAGGGCAAGGCCAAGGGCACCCCGGTCTAACGTGCGGGGACCGTGATGGACACTTAAGATCCTGCCTTTTGATGGAGAACGTTGGGGAGACCCTGGCGCCCTGATACAAGGACCTGACTACGGGGCCCCGAGGCTGTACTGCAGGGAGCAGCGGGCTGGCAGTCAAGACTCCCGGCAGCCCCTTCTCCGCACCTGCGGCCAGAAATAAACGCTCCAAATGGCCTGGGTCGTGCTTTCTTTTGCGCGTGCGGCCGCGGATGGGGGCGGGGTGAGGCGCAGCGGGCGGATCCTGCGCCTGCCCGTCCCATCGGCCCCGCCCCACGCCCGCGGCCGCCATGATCTGCCTGGTGCTTACCATCTTCGCTCAGCTTTTCCCCGCCGGTGAGCGCTGGGCCGGGCCGGGGCGTGTACGGAAGCGTGCTACCCGACGGGCCTAACGACCTGCTCCCCGCAGCCTGTGGCGGCGTGCATGAGCGCACCCTTTTGGCCGTCAAGCCGGACGGGGTGCAGCGGCGGCTGGTGGGCGAGATTGTGCGGCGCTTCGAGAGGAAAGGCTTCAAGCTGGTGGCACTGAAGCTGGTGCAGGTGAGGGGGGGGCGGTGCAAGTGCTGGGGCACGCTACTGGGCCGAGCGGGGTGGGAACGCGGCCCAGGCGCATGCGGCCATCCCTCCTCCAGGCCTCTGAGGAACTGCTGCGGGAACACTATGCTGATCTGCACGAACGCCCCTTCTATGGTCGCCTGGTTAAATACATGAGCTCGGGGCCCGTGGTGGCCATGGTGAGTTCCCAGTGGTGGGTGGGCTGGCACCGTCCTCAGAGATCTGCCCACACTCTCCCACATGCACCCTCGCCTGCACAGGTGTGGCAGGGACTGGACGTGGTGCGCGCTTCGCGGGCCCTTATTGGGGCCACAGACCCAGTGGACGCCGTGCCTGGCACCATCCGAGGGGATTTCTGCGTAGAGGTTGGCAAGTAAGGCCCACAGTTACTTCTGTCCCCCGCCCCCTGGTCACACTCTGCCTGTTAGCCCTGCTCAGCTGGCTTCTGCTCTGCACACCCCAGGAACTTGATTCATGGCAGCGACTCTGTGGAGAGTGCCCGCCGCGAGATTGCGCTCTGGTTCCGTAAGGAGGAGATCCTATGCTGGGAGGACAGCACTTCACACTGGCTATATGAGTAGTGAGGAGCCGGCCTGGTGGGAGAACACTGCAGCCTGCAGAGCTCCCCTAAGCAGTGGGTGCAGGCCACCCACGACTACTCTGCAGCAGAGCCACCTCCCTGGCCCACAGCATCTGGACTCACCACACTTGTTTTCATAATATATTGATAAAAACCCATGTGGAACTGGCCTGATCCCTGGGAGGCAGAGGCATGGTGTCAAGACATTTATTACATACAGAGCAGATATGTGGGTTCACTTGCAGGACCAAACAAAGCCTGAGGAGAATTGCACCGGCCCCTTTTTCCAGCTCCACCCACCCTCTAAACCCAGTCACTTCAGCTCCTGTGGGGACAGACAGGGACATACATCACAGTGGAGAGGTGGCAGGGTGGTGGGGAGAAGCCTGCAGCTGTGCATGGCTGCAGCCTGTAGTGGCCAGCTGGGCTCATGGCATAGCGCCCTAAGATCTGTGCTTCTCTAGGGTGTGGTGGGCAGCAGGGGCCATGCTGCCCTGATCAGTGCCTTGGAGTAGGAGTAAGGCCTGGGCGGGGAAGGTGGGTAAGGAGAGCAGCCCAGGGCAATGCCCAGGGCCTGGTGCAGTAGCCCTGTCTTTGTCCTCTGGCCTTTTCTGGGCAGCCCCACATCAGTTGCTCTTCATGGGAGCAGGCCACAGCGGGCAACCCTAGGCACTTAGTACGTGTCTGGGAGCTAGGCTCTTTGGAGCCCGGTGCAGCGGACAGACTCCAAGAGCACACTACCCCCATCAACCTGAGGCTGAGCCTGCACTCTGGACCAACTCTCTTTACCTCCCCAAGAGAGGCCAGAGACCTCTGGCCTCCCTGAGGCCTGGGCCTGCTCTGACAGCCTGAGAAATTCTACCCTAGGGACCTCAGGGAGGGGCATAGGTCAGCAAGGGCTGGATTGGATGGTACCTGGTTTGTCTTCTGCAGAAGCTGCCCGAGAGAGCCTGGCCCCAAGCTTTAATGCTAGATCCCAGGGGAGGCTGGATAGGGCTGAGGGAATGGATACTTTGTGGATGGGGGATACCCATAGAAGGCTGGGTGGGGTCCGGGCAGCCTGAACCCCACCTCCCTTGACACAGGATGGTTACTGGACCTGACCTCTTCAGGGAGAGCAAGAGCCTGGGGTCCAAGGGACCCCACTCCATGGGCAGCATGCAAAGCAGGTGGATTCAGGGTAGGAAGACTTAGCGGCTCAAAGCCCCTGCTCCTGCCATGGGGTCCCAGGAGTGGGAAGTCCATAGCGGACCAGGGCTGCCTGAAGGAGCTGCCCACAGTCACCTCAGCCTTGCCCTCACCCTGAAGTGCCTTTGCGACTTGATGACACTGGGCTGGGTGCCAGCCAGGTACTGCTGGGGAGGAGTTCCCAGAGGTTCTCCCCTCCCTGCTGGGAATGCTACCTGCTCTCTGCCTCCTTCCCTGTGACCTGTATCACCCCTCTCCCTGCCAGCTGTGGGGAGGGGGCTGGACTTCAGGTGAAAGCTGCAAGTTGAGAGGTTAGAAGGGGGGTGGTTGGGCGCCTGGCTGCCCCAGGGGAGGAGATAGAGGGCAGGCAGGCAGGGGTCCTATGTACACATTGGCATCAGGCAGGGTGGAGAGTTGGGGCAGTGGCCTCACTCTGGGGTGTAGGACACCTGCCACACGATGATGTGACTGCGCTCCGCCTTGGACAGCATCGGCTTCACCTGGCTGATGTCCCCTGCACCTTCCTCTGTCTCATCGTCCTCTCCATCCCCTAGAGAGTCACAGCAGTCAGGAGCAGCTCCTGGCTGCCAACACCCATGACCCTGCCCTGGGCAGTACCCCCTCACCAATGCGGAAGTCAATGTAGCCTTCACCGCCACTGAGCACCAGTGCATTCTTCAGTTTCTGGCCCTCAGTGTCCGCAGCAGGTGCAGCAGGCCCAGGGCCCTCAGATGGGCTGTCCAGCACACTGCCGTTGAGGGTGGCCAGCACATTCCCTGTCATGGGGGCAAAAGGGGCTCAGTGTGACAGCCTCCTAGAGGGGCTACCATTTGTACCCGTACAGGGCCATGGCATGCAGGGGAATGCAGGAATAACCCCTCACCTGGTACTGAGACAAAGAATTTGACTGCATCACGGTGTCCGTGGAAGCAGAGCTGGGCCTGAGCCATGGAGCAGTAAGGGATGAAGCTGCTAGCTGATTTGTCACTGCTGTCATCCCCATACACGTGGATGACGCCCCCAGGGCGGCTGCCCTCCCCAGATGTGGGAGATGTCTTATTGGCTGGAGATAAAGAGGGCACTGAGCCGCCTCATTTCCAGTAGGTAAGAAGGAGGGAAGGTAAAAGAGGGGAGAGAAAGGACAGGAGAGGAGCAGAGTGATCACCTTGGGCTGTGTCTGGGGCAGAGGCAGTGCTGTGTACTCACCCCGGAGCCCTAGGAGTTGGCCTCGATGCAGGACCACAGCTGGTGAGGAGAGGTGGAGATTGAGTGTGGCTACAGCCAGGTGGCTGGGTCCACTAGGGTGTGGATGGCTTTGTGTGGCCTCCCCCCACCCCACTCTGACATGTGCCCTTTAGGGGTAGCCACCACTATCTCCGCAGGTATCCCAGGATGGCAGTCACTCACTCTCAGTCAGCGGGATGGAGATGACAACTCCATTGCCAGTGCCCACCCAGAGGCGGTTGCCTGCGATGAGCAAAGCTGTGATGCGCACAAAGGAGAAGCCCAGCTTGCCAGTGCCTGGGAGGGGGCAGGAGATGCTAGGTCAGTGTAGCTCGTGTCAGTGTCCCCACCTTGCTCCTCCCAGTGCCACTCCTCACCCAGCATCTTGCTGACATAGGGCTCTATGTCCACATCCTGCAGGTGCTGGTGGGTGTGGGCGTGGTAGAGGCGGAGGGTGGAGTCCAAGCGGATGGACACCCACACCCCATCACCGATCCATGCCAGCTGCCGCACCTGGCTCTCCCGCCTTGGATGGGCATCAAATGACTTCTGTGGGGTTATGGCAGTCAATCAGCAGGGCTGGGAAGGGTGAGAATTGGGAGGGGACCCTGATCCTGCCACAGCCCCAGGGGCCACCCCAATATCTAGTCAACCCACTCCAGCCTCTGATCCAGCATCTGCATTGCTCCCAGAGGTCTAGGCCCTGGACAAAGGCCAAGCCATAGGAGAGGTGTGTGTCTTTGACTTCTGTTTTAAGGGTACATAGCACTGGGCAGGCTACAGACAGACTGACAACTATAGCCCAGGTGCCCTTTATTCTCCCATGCCTTTGAACAAAGGAGCAATTTCTCTGAGTGGTTCTCCACTTGGCCTCCCTCCCCTCCCTGGAGCCACACTGCTGGTGGGAACTTGCCTCTATCTGCATTGTCTTGGGCTGGATGACGTGCACCTTGTTCTTGTAGCCACACCAGACTCGGTCATACACGACAGCCATGCAGCGGATGGAGTGGTGGGGGTGGCCCAGGTCCATCAGGTGGTAATTGCTTAGGTCCCACTGGCCATCTAGAGAAAGCCCATGACCCTTGCTCAGGGGAACCAGGGTCCTACTACTCATAGGTAGGAGTGTAGAACCCACTGCCAGGCTGAGGAGAGCCCCAGGGACCCAGGGGAGCACCCTGGCCAATGGTGGTAGGGCCACCAAGACTTACCCTCGCCACGGTGGAAGATGGCCAGAGTCCCATCTGCGAGAGCCACCAGCACACGGCCTTTGACGTGCCTGGAAGGGGAAGACAGTGAGCCAGGCTCAGGCCAGCAAGGCCACCTGGGCCCCCATCTGACTCCCAGCCCTCAGTGTGGGGTCACATACACCAGGCTCAGCACAGAGTCCTTCAGCTTGATGGAGTGCAGACACTTCTTCCAGTTGGCCACAGCTGAGTGCACATATAGCCTGTGGAAGGAGGGTGAGGTAGGCATGGACACAAATGCAGGTAAAGCCAGGGAGCCCTCCAACCCTTGCCCTAGCCTGCCTACCAGCCATTCTGGGCTCCCAGCCACATGGTTGGTGCGGCACTGCTACTTGGTGCTGAGGGGTCCCCGGTTGGCTCCGGCTGGGGCTGTACACTGTTTCCATCAACCTCTGGCCCATTCTCACTGCAGGAAGGACGATGGCTCCAAGGTAGTCCAAAGATTGTGCCTGACCCCTGCCCAGAGACCCTGCCACATCTGCCAGTCTCCTCTCCATTTCCGTTGTGCTGGATGTAAGAGAGCCTACCTGCCAGGCTGAGTGCTAGAGGGTTGGGCAGGAGACGGGTCTGTGAAGACATGCTCTGTGAGGGGCCCAGGCCGCACTGCAGCTGCTTCTGGCTCACTGGACCCAGGTTCTGGCACCTCTGTAGCTTCTGTGGCCTCCTCTGTGGACTGGGATGGGTTCACCTTCCCATTGGCAGTGGCAGCCACCTCTCCTGTGGAAGGAGGGGTGAGCTCGGCTGGGCAGAGACAGGAGGAACAAGGTGGATGGAGAGAAGGCTGCCCAAGACTCACCTTGTCCCTTGTCCAGCACTGGGGTGTCCCCTCTAGAGGAGCAGTTGCTACGTGGCACATTGCAGCGAGTGGCACAGCCCACCAGCGTAATGCCAGCCAACACACCATCAGTGCTGGAGTCCTCGGGGTTCATGTCACTGTCCAGGAACATCTCCCCTGGGGGGTAGTCGCTGTCGCTGGCCGCTGGGAGGAGAGTCACAGCCTGTCAGCCATGCCAAAGAGCCCAATACTTCAAGGCCATACCAGAGCTCAGTCCCTTGGAGGCAGTAGGAGAGATGGGTGCCATCCGCTAGGGCCAGCGTTCTGCCTTCTCCCAGCTAGACCCAGCTCTATGCTGAGCCTGTTCAGCCTCCACAGTTGGCAGCACTCTGGCTCCTCTATCCACATAGAGACCTGGGAGACCAGCAAGCATGCTCTGCTGGGTAGGCCCCCAGACCAAAGGGAACTGAGAAGAGGGTGTAGTCCTTGGAGCAAATAGCATCGGATCATGTGACAAACCCTGAAGAACTTTTAAGGAGCTGAGGTTTTATACCTGAGACCCACAGGGCCCTCATCATCCATTGGTCTTCACTGTGGAATTTACAGATGCTACAGCTCAAGGATGTGAAGCCAGACTCTTCACTTGTGCCCAGCTCTCTAGCCCTCAGTAAAGTAGCAGGATTTGGGCCCAGTGGAGTCTCACATTTACCACACAGAAGTTTTCTTACTGCTTATAAGCAGTATTTCAGGGCCAGGGATATAGCTCAGCGGTATAGCACCTGCCTAGCAAGTGTGAGGTCCTGAGTTCAATTCCCAGTACCAAAAAAAAGAAAAAAAAAGCAATGTTTCAGTTTGGCCCATGCTGTGCTCCATCTGTCACTTTTTTCTTTCTTTCTTGTTTTTGTACTGGGAATTGAACTCAGGACCTTGTGCTTGACAGGCAGGTGCTTGTGCCACTGAACTATATCCTCAGCTCCCACCTGTCACTTTTAACCAGCTGAGTGTGACATCAGGCTCTCCTCTGAGTGAGCACCAGCAATGGGCAGAACAAGGCCACCAGCAAGCTTCCTCCTAGACAGGAGGTCCTCGGTCTCACTGGACTTGGCCAGACCGCCTCCCACTGTCCACTCACATTCTTGGCAGGCCTCCTGTCATCATTTACTTAACATCCTAGTCATCCCTTGATAGAAATGAAGAACCACCCTCCTTGAACACCAGCTTTCAAGGGCTATGCCCAAGGCCCAAGACTCACCAGGAATGCTGGAGATACACAGGACGTGGGCATTGCAGACTGTGAACTGGTCCACAATGGTGCCTGGCTGATTGGCATCAATGATCACCACTTTGCTGGTGGTCAGGGTGCTGGTGAGGATCCATACCCGGCTGGAGGTGGCATCTGTCTCAGGTAGCTCCTTTGCCTATTTTAGAGCATAGGGGATCAGGGCTAGTGCCCAGGAGTCTTCCAGGATCTCACAGGATCTCTCCTTGACCATGGCTTCAGAGGACATGGCTGTCCTTGCCTGTAGTCCAGAAAACTCAGAACCACATCTAGACGGTTCACTTCCAAGGGAAAGATCTGGTCTCTAAATTAAACTGGAGTATAAAACTACCCCTTGGCTCCAACCATGAAGCCTTCTGCCTCCTCCCACATTCAGTCCATTCCACTATCCACTCCTCTGCATGAATCAAGAAGCACCTGCTGTGTTCTTGACCTGAAGTGGGTATTGAAAAGGGAGTAGTAGCTACCACAGCTCCAGGCACAGACTCCTGGACTGTACTCCTACCTCCTGGGTTCCTGGTGAGAGCCAGATACAGCTCCACCCAGGCCTATCCTGTGGAGAAGAAAACCTCCCTGACTTCAGAAGTTCCTGCCTCCTCCACTCAGCCTCACAAGAGACACCATCCCAGCATGCTCTAACTCTGTCCTTTTCGGCCCCAACCTGTAGCAAGCTGTCCAGAGACAATGCATAAGGGAGGTGGCAGTAGGGCCCTGTTGCCACACTGACCTTCTTCCTTTCTGGAGATGTATGGTTGCTCTTGGGTTCATCTTCTACTTCCCGGTCACAAGTCAGAGGGTCACGGCCAGGCATGGGCTTGACTCCATTTCCAGAATCCTCCTCACTTGGCTTCCATCCGCTCAGGTTGACACCGGCAGCACACCACAGCTGCAAGATTAAGGCTGTGGGGTCTGACATACAGATCCTCTGCCCACCTCCCAGATCGGCTGCTCAGCTTCTGGGGGTGGTCTTGTGGGTCCTCCAGACTCACCTTCATAGTTGGGTCTTTCTCTACCAGAGGGCGGCAGTATACAGGGACAGGCACATTCTTCATCCGTGTGTCTTCCTGGCCCCCATTGGGACTCAACTGTACAGAGTGGGAAGGCACTGTGGGCACAAGGCCAGGCGCGGGCACCTATCCTTCAGAGTCCCAGGTCAACCAAGCCCGCTGGCTTCCGGTGCAGAGGGCACAATGGGCAGAAGCCTGGCTCTCCAGGCCTGAGCAGTGAGCAGCAGGGGCTGCAGAGCTCCACCTTGTTCCTTCCCCCAGGGTTGGGATCTGCCCTGGCCAGGCTAAGGGGTGGGTACCAGTCTGACACTGCACACCCTCAGTGTACCTCCCAATCCTGCACCCACCTCAGCCCTGCCTATCATCCCTGACCATATGCATCTCCTTCCTATACCCTTCTTCTGGTACTGCCCCTACACATACCTGCTTGTACTTTGCAGGCAGGCTCCAGCCACAGGCCTGCAACCTCCCGTCATCATTGCGCACGTGTTCGCGCACCTGGCGGTACTGCTCCCGCTTCTGCTCCCTCCGGGCAGATGATGTGCAGTCACTGGGTAGGAAGGAATGAAAGGCCATGTCCTTGATCAAGGGGAGTGGCCTATGCAAGCCCACAACACACAGATCCCACAGGGCTCCTCCCCTGCAGGGCATCTGCTCTGCCTAGGAGCCTATGTAAGTCTCCCTTGGCCTTTTACTGGCCATTGAGCCCCATCTGACAGGGTAGATTTCTCCAGTATGGGAAGTGTCCCTGGACTGAGAGGCCACATCTAACAGATGCCTTTGTCTAGGAGCCTGCTACATTGCCTGGGCCCCAGGGCTTAGCTGGCGGGGATTTCACTGCAGCCTGGGGCAGGATCTGGTCAGTGGCTCCTCACTTCAAGGTGTGCTGAAACAGTTCCTTGATGCAGTTCCAGATGCTCAAGAGCCCAGGGATACACAACGCTCAGGGCCAGTGAGTGCACAGAGCAGGGGGCCACAGAACCCAGCACAACCCTCAGGGACTAAGGAGAGGGGCTGCCACAAAGTGCAGCCTTTGCCAGGCATGGTGGTGCAGGCTGCATTCCCAGCTCTTGGGAGGCTGAGGCACAAGAATTGCTGTGAGTTCAAGGCCAGCCTGGCCTACACAGTGAGTTCTAGGTAGGCTGAACAACACAGCAAGACCATCTCAAAAAAACAAACCAAACCAAACCAAAACACAAAGAAAAAAAGAAAGAAAATGCAGTCTTTGACAAGGGGTGTCTGTTACAGAATACTAGAGCTAGACCAGAGCAGCGGTGCTCCTTGTAAGGGGGAAGAGGGAGCATGCCCTTGTCCCACAGCACAGCGAGGTGAAGGCCTGCCCTCCTTGTCCTGCTTCTGGGCCTGGCAGAGAAGGGCTCTGCCATTCATCACCTGCTCCCCTTGCAGGTCAGAGAGCAGTGGAGGCTGTAGGACACTCACTCGTCAGGGAAGAATTCCAAGGGCCGGCTGCCTGCTGAGATCTGGCACAGGGCATGGCTGCGGCGCTGGCTGAAGCTGGCAGCAGTGGGTGACTTGTAGTGGATGTTCACTGAGGGATAGGACCGCTTGGCTGGAGGAGGGCTGGAGGAGGAGCTGAAGAGGCGGCTGAAGCTGGCAGTAGAGGCACAGCGGGTGAGTGGCATTAGCCTTAGGGGAGCCCAGCTTTCCCCCAGGGTCCCCTACTCACAACTGCCAGATGGTGGACTTCTTCTTCTCCTGGACAGATGGGTGCTCTCGGGATGCTCTGCAGGGAAGGGAAGAGATGGAACCTGCTAGCTCTCTGGCATCCCATGCCTGGGACTCCACCAAAGAACTGGCCTCTTTCCACCCCACTCCAAGAGGTAGGGGCAGTGAAGGCCAGGCTCCACTCAATCATTTGGGATAATGCTCAGCCCCTCACTCAGGGACCGCAGCCCAAATTGGAGACAAGAGCTCATCTCTGGGGTTTGTGGAATGCAGGGGAGCAAGAGACCTACCTGATCATCTCGGTCCACCGCACAGCCTCCTGTAGCTCCATCAACCGCTCCTTGTATTGGTTGCGTTCCATGAGCACACGTGCCATCTCTACCCGCGTGAAGCGGCGGCGCTGGGCCATGGGGATTTTGTCCTGCAAAGGGGAGAGGGCACCATGGATCAGCTGAGAAAGAAGGGCTCGGGTCAGTCCAGACACCTTGCTTCCTTCTGGGGCACCTGTCTCCTAGGTGGGCACATGACTTCCAAGTGTGGGATCCATATGCTAACATCCTGCAGAGCTCAAGCAAGTGACAGTGGGAGCATGTGGGTAGGGGAGAGGGGGATGGTGAATATACTCGTCCTCTTAGGGCTGTCTGTTTCTAGAATGTCCCATGATCCCTTGAGGATAAAACAGGTGACCCTTTCTACAGGTTCCTGATATCTCAAGAAAAAAACAGGAAGGACTGGTCCATGTGGAATATAAGAAGGAAAGTTCTGGGGAAGGTCTCACCAGCAGAGTGCTTTAGGTTTGAGTGACCTGAGTGGGGTCCACCATTGTGCTCTCCCTGGCCCTGGGATATGCTGGAAAATGCTGGAAGGCCCAACAGAGCTGCAGGGAGTAGGGTGCCTATGGGGAGGTGTCCTGTCCCCTCCTGCCTCATACATCTAACTTTAGGCTTGGAAGGGACTGAGCCTCAGTTCAGCCACTGCCCACTCAAGGTGCTGGGAGTCTAGGGAGCCACAGTTCACCTTGGGCTTTGTCTCTCCTGGGCTATTGGAGGTGGGAGGTGCACAGTACGGGCAGAAAAGAGTGGCTACCAGTTCTTGAACCCTTGACATAGGACCTTTATCCTTACACCCCCATGGACTGAGCTGTAAAGTGCTGAGGTCGAATGTTGGTGTGACTCCAGGGCCCTAGCCTGCTTTAAGGAACATGGCTATGTCACAGGTATATAGGCTGCTCATTCAGGTTTTGCAGGAGGCTGAGGCTCCAAGTTGGGGGCCTCTCCCACCTAGGCTATAGGTGGTTTTCCTCAGAACACTATGGCTCCTGTGCATAGTACCTAGGAAGGCATAGAAGTGCTGGCACTGACTTTGCAGACTCACTTGGAGAGGACAGAGGGTGGCTTGGGACAGCAGAACACATTCACTAGGACTGGGGCTGGGAGGGGGCTATGACTCATACAGGGGGGGACCTTCCAAGGGTGTGGCTGTAAAACCACAAAGTCACAGAGGGATGGCAAATAATGCACCAGGTTCAGAGGTCACACAGGATAGGTGGAGAGGGCCCAGGAGATCCAGTAAGCCCCAGGAAGCCCACCTCACACCCCTGCCCACCCATACCCACACCCACGCCCACAGGTTAATAGTGGAATATACCAATTCTGTACAGAGATAGCTGCTTACATCCTCCACCTCTTCTCTGGGTTCACGGCGAGCAATGACAGCCTCTGACTTCACTCTATAGGACAAAAAAGGAAACAGAGTGAGGGGCTGCAATGCCTTCACAAATGCCCAGGTTCAAGGTCTGCCCCACACGGACCCCAGTGATGGCTCTGAATGATCTGGTCAGTTCCTTATGGTCAAGGAGGCCTCACACCCTTGCCTCATGTGACCCCAAAGCCCAGACTTCTGGGTTGTTCTGACCAAGGAAGAGGTAGTTAATGCTTGGAAGGGGTCAGGCATGGATGTGCATGCCTGTAATCCGAGCACCTGGGAGGCTAAGGTAGGACTGCCAGAAGTTGAGGCCAGCCTGGGTTACAACAGTGAATAGAAGGTTGGCCTGGACTATATAGCAAGAGTATCTTAAAAAAAAAAAAAAAAATCTTAAGGCAAAAAGAGCCAGGGACACTCCTGGGCAGGGCAGATAAGGCAAGTCCAGAGCAGACTTGGCTCCCACTGGCTCTCTTCAAAATTATCCCTCCCATCACAACAGGCCTAGAGTCAGGACATAGGGACTCCAGGGGCTGGGAGGCCAGACCTTGGCTGATGTGAGGACTGGGGAACTGAGGGGATGTAGGGTACCAGGACAGTGAGCGCCTTCCTCCAGCTAATAAAGGAATGGTGTGAAAGTGGCAGCCAAAGCTGTTAACCTCACCCACAGACCATACACGAGACAGGACCCCGCATAGCAGGCTCAGGAGAAGAGAGAGAAGAGGAGGACAGGCATTGGGAAGACAATAGACCTGGGCTAGTGGCTGGAGCTAGAGCCCAGAGAGGGCCGAGGAATGAACACACAAAGCTACTTGAGGCCGGAGCGGCCTCTCAGGATAGTGCAAGATTTAGGAGAACAGATTCATGGGGGACGTGAAGGGACGAAGTGGGCTGCTCAAAAAACTGTACCTGGGAGCCTGAGTCTTGGTTTCCCCCAAACCTCTCACCTTTTTAGCTCTTCTTCCAGCTCTTTGATTCGGTTCTCCAGTTTGACCTTGGCCTGCTTAGCTGCTTCCAGCTCCCCCCTCAGCACCTCCTGTTCTCCTGACAGTTGGTCGACCTTTGCAATGAGGTCATTCTTCACCACATTCAAAGCATTTCTTTAAAAGGCAGAAAGATGGGTTGGGGGGTGTTTTGAGAGACCCTGTGCACATGTTATAGGGACTTTTGAGGGGCCCACATGTTCTTATCTGAGAGGGTTCACCTTAGTCAAGAATGTGGCTGAGGGTGTGGGACCACCTGTTGACAGGACACCAAACTGGTCACCCTAGCCAAAGGGTTCTTAAAATAAGCTCTCCAGGAAACTACTCAGGGGTTCTGCTGAGTCCTCCTTACTAAAGACAATGACAAAGATCCTGTCCAGGTGGCCCTGCAACACAGGAGGGGAGGCTTCTATGGTCCTTCCTCTATGGTCTGCTGAGGGGGCTGCTTAGCCTGGCACAGAGGACCTCTTACTTGGTTTCTAGAAGCTGTGAGTTCTCCAGCAGCAGGTTCCCCACTTCTTTGCCCATTCCTGCAATGAAAAGTGTGAAGGTTTCCCTGAGCATTTGAGGCCATTCTGATGCTATTGTACCTGCCTCAAGGAGCAAACTTCCCTGCATACCTCACCCCCATTTGCAGGAGCCAAGCTGCAGAGTTGTGCCTGGAGAGGGCTCCTGGCCCTGGGCTCCACAGCCAGTGGAAGCGCCTGTTCTTGCCAGGCCTGTGGCCTACATACACAGAGGAGGCTCCCCATGGTGGCAGCCTAGAGCTTATAACCAGGCCCCTGAAGTGGCTCTCACAGATCCCTCTGCACAGGAAGTAGATGAACTAGAAGGGCCTGGAATGGCCTATGTGCAGCTGCTTTGCTCCTGTCCCCAGCATCACCCTTTTTCCTAAAGTGTGATTTCCAGGCCCAGCATACACATGTGCCTTTCAGAGCTATCCCCCAGGTGAATAGATGTTAGAGCCACAATGAGAGGGGATAGATGACAGCACAGGATTCAGAGAAAACACCCAGCCATACAGATGGGATGGCCCATGGCAGGTGTGACCCTCCACCAGGGATACATGCAGGCCTGGCAGGATATGGGCAATAGAGTGGGGTAGCAGGAGGCAAGGAGGGGCCTGGGTACAAGGATAGGGCTTCCTGGTGCCTTTCTGTGGAAGAACTGACCTGGACCTTTTGCTACTGGCCTCAAAGTGGACTCTACAGACTGAGTTCCCTACAGGCATGTCCCACGAATCCCTCAAGTACCAAATTTGATCTTTCAAAAACAGCCCCATATCTGTGCAGTCATGAAACAAAAACACAGGGTGCCTGAGCTAGGGGTTGACCCGCTGTTGACCTCACCTGCCTCAAACATGTGCCTGCTTCCTGTGGACAAGGGACAGCAGAAACGGGCTCTCTAGTTTAGGGGTCTGCCTTGGGCCTGTGGAGGCTCTGAGGGTCTGCCTACAGCAGCTCAGAGGGAGGTGTTGCCTCCCATGACAGCCTGCAGCCTCTGCTGACCCCACCACCCCTGCCATGCAGAACAAAGCAGATGCTCATGAAGCATGAGAAGGTGTGGGTTGGAGAGAGGAAGCCAAAGATAAGAGAAACACACAAAGAAGCTGGGCCTTGGCCTTACCAAAAAAATCATCACGCACTGCGGGAGCGTCCCAGTCCCACAGGAGATGGGCAACAGGGCAGGGGGAGGAGGGAAAGAAAAGAAGCGCATTAAGCCTGTGTAGACTGCAGGGTGGAAGGCATTTCAGGGTCACTTCTGGCTGGGTTAGGGTGGTGATAGGAGGGGAACAGGAGGTCAGGAAACGGGATGGAGCCAGCTACCCCTTCCAGAAAGTTTATCCTTGGGCTGCAAACCAGATTGCCAGGCCAGAACCACCAGTGGAGAATGCACTAACATCTTGCTCCCAGAAGCTGGGCTAGAGGAATCCACAATGGGGAAGGGATTGGGACCAGGGTATAGGCTCAGAGAGGCAGGTGGACTTCAGGGACTCCTGCCGCAAAGCAAGGCAACAGCTTAGCCTGGTTACCCATGTGGGACAGGGCCCTAGGCTGTGCTTATTAGCAGGTATCCCAGGGACCTTGATTTCTGAGGTACACCCAACAGGGTCAACTGTCTTACATTCTCAATGGCTCCCTAGGGGCCTTCTCAGGCTCAAAAAAAAGAGGGTCAGATACCAAGGGCCTGCCAGCGGCTCATGGAGCAAACCCAAATCAGCTTTCGGGCAGTAGTAGGCTTGTGAGTAAAGCACAGGGCTTCGGTGGCTGAGCAGCTCAGTGCAGCCGGACAGCAATCAGGGGTCAGTGCAGTGGCCTTGGCGATGGCCAGCAGCAGGGGAGCACCCACGCGTATGCACCCTGCTCCAGCTACTCTCCAAGGTGGTGGTGGGGCACAGGAGACAGATGGGAGAGATACACACCTGAGAACTCCCCTGGGCCACATCCAGCGAGGCAGAGAAAGATGGGAAGGAAGCAACAAAGGTCAATTGGCGACTGGAACCAACAAATAAAGGAATTCTAATTAAAGAAAAAGCAACAATGACTCAGCCATTCCCATGCTGAAGGGCATGGAGGACAACATATTCCAGCAGGCCCAGGGCATATCTCATGGGGCAGTGGGAGGCCTGGGGTGAAGGGAGGCCAGGAGGCAATCTTCAGTCCACAAAAGGTGCAGAGTATTGCAATCCTAGCTTTGCCAGGAACCTACTTTTTTGTACCTATCACCCACCCAGCAGGAGACTAGTCCTCTGCAGACAATAAAGGCCTATATCACAGCTGTGTGTGTATGTGTTGAGAAACAGCTGCATGATAAGCGGGTACAGCTTCCCAGGAGCCCCTCCATACTAAGCTGGCTCTCCTGGTCAGTCCAGGTCTCATGGGAAAGCATAATCTCAGGTGAGGAATGACCAGAGAATAAGGGACCTAGGATTCCACTGTAGAGGGGGGAAATAAATTAGTCAAAAAGCAAAGAGGAGTAAGGTGGGGAGCATGAGGTGGCACATCCCCTCTGGATGCAGACCTCTGGTGCACAGAAGGGGCTGCTGAGAAAAATGAACATGGGTGGGAAGATGTTTCTTTCTTCTACACAGAACTGGTAAAACCATCCTGTCCTAGTTAATGTACTTCATAAGGAAAGAATATTAAAAACTTAGCTGATTTAAAGAACAAAATATGCAATTTGTTATTGGAATTTAAGTAGTGCACCATTTCAAAAGCAGTGTCTTCTTGCAAATCACCTCCCTGGATACCCAGGGCACCTGCTGTGACCATCTGGTATCCTCCATTTTTTCTTTTTTTTTCCAGATACTTGGAGTGAACCTAGGGCCTTCAAATTGAGCTATATCCCTAAGTATTATCTTTCATTTATTTTGAGACAGAGTCTCACTAAGTTGCCAAGTTGCCCAGGCTGGTTCCAAACCTGTGAGCCTTAGGTCTTAGCCTTCCAGAATGCTGGGAATACAGGTGAGTGCCACCACTTGTCCTTGTATTTTTATGTTTAGATCTTTAATCCACCTAGAAATTACTTGTGTTTGGTGTGATCACACTCATACCACATTAGAGTATGGGGTCTACTTCACCTTAGTTGGAGCAGCTGGGACCCACACCTTTACTGGAGAACCCACCCACCCTTCATGGCTGGAGACTGCATGTATCACGAGAGCCTCCTGCAGCTCAGGTCTGTACTTTCCCCTCTGCTATGAGCCTTTTCTATCCACTTGCAGCCTCAGGGTACTAATGGACACTTAGATTGGTAATCCTGTGAACTGATGCTGCCTCAAAAACTTCCAGGGGAGGGGCTGAAGGGAAGGGAGGGGAATGGGAAAAAAAAGAAAGGAAAAAAAGAGGCAAGATATATCATGTACAGGTACAAATTCTCTACAATGAATGTTATCATTATGTATATCTAAAATGTACCAATTTTTTAAAAAAGCACTTTTGAGCTGTTCTTACAATTTACTTTTCTGGATGAACTTCAGAATCCATTCAGAAAGTTCCAGGAAAACATCCAACTCTAGATAGTTTCCCTGAACTGATACATCCACTGTAGGCTCATCTGTGATGTCACCTGACAGCTCATGTGATCAACTGTTAGGCCCTAGAGTAGTCCTGTTTATCTATGTATTTGAGGGTTTTAGGTCCTTTTGTTATGCTTTCTAATTCTTTTTTTTTTTTTTTTTGGTCTTTTTGAGACAGGGTCTCGCTATGCAGTTCAGGCTGGCCTTGAGCTCACTTTGTAGGCCCAGGCTGGCCTCAACTCCAAACAATCCTCCTGCCTCAGTCTTGGGAGTGCTGGGATTACAGGAGTGTGCCACCACGCCAGGCTTATGCTTTCTAATTCTTTTTATGCAGGTGTCTCTACTTCTCAGGATTATGACCAGACATCGAGCTAGGCTCTGATCCTGAATGGACAGCCAGCTGACCAACAAGCAGGGAAGGGATCACAGTCAGGTCAGCCCATGTCAGAATTTCAGATTTTAACAGTGATTCTGTGCAAGCCACTCAGCCTCTCTTAGCTTCAGTTTCCTCATTTTTAAGTTGGGAAAACAATCTCCCTAGGTAAGTGTGTGAAATTCCCATGAAACAGTCCATGTAAAGGCTGGAACAGCACTACACTTGTTAAGTGCTCAGGTGGGTGTGCCCAAGTACGTGTATACCAGCAGGTGATGGCAGATCATCCAGATACAAGGATGAAAGCTGGCGTATGGATGCACCACACAGAAGAATCCCCTGATAGGAAAGGTTCGAGATAGGTGAATCCACAGACAGCAAGCAGACTGGTGTTGCCAAAGACTGGAGGGAGGGGAGGAAGGTTGCTCACTGGGTATAGGCTTCCTTTTGGGAGGTGACAATGTTCTGACATTAAGTAGTGATGGTTGCACAGCTCTGAAAACACTAAGAACCACTAAACTGTACATTTTTAGTGGGTGAATTGTATAGTGTGGGAATTATACCTCAGTACAGCTGTTAAAAGCAGTGCAGAAGATGGCTAGAGTCAGGGCTGCAACTTGGAGTTGGACCTGGACCTGAGTCCCTTTACCTAAATTGGAAACACGATCAGCATGCAGCTGTTGGAGGCCATGCTGAAGACATAGTGGCCATGTGCGTGGAACACTGGGCTGATCATATGATGACCAAGTTGAGGATGTGAATCTTATCACAGGATATCAGACTGCAAAGATATAAGAGTGGTATCCTGCTCTGCCCTCTTCCCTACATTCTATCTATCACGCCTTATAGGCGCAGGGCCCCTGAATGTACCTCCAAATTCCCCACCCTCAAGCAGAGGTCAAGAGCAGGATATTCAGTGAGGCTATAACCTTTGACATGAAAATAAAAATTTTACATGCGTATGTGTTTTTCTAAGGAAAAGATATCTCTTTATCAAAAACTCCAGAGCTTACTGAGTTACTGTGGAGTGCTGCAGTGTCCATATGAAGCCTTCGTGACCCAGGTTCTGCCTCTCAGTAGCCTCAGCACCCACTGTGCACAGCCCATGTCTTAGACACCACAGACAGCTCACTGACAAGTTCCTGTCTGCGCTGGGCAGAAGTGGCGTGTTCCCATGGGACTCTAGTACAGCATGGATGACACATTTCCCCAAACCGACTTAGGACATCAAATATTCTAGGATGGGACTGTTGTGCCCCTGGCAGGTATGAGAGGAGACTGAACAGATGTAGGCACCTGGAAGCTGCGCCTAGTGAGGGTCCTGCCTTCACTTGGGCACTTCTATGTACCCAACAGCAATCATCAGAAATGTAGGCAAATGTTTATGCCAAAGGTCCCTAGGATAAGGAGGGGGATGAGGTGGCGGGTAAAGGGATGAAAAAAGAATTAAGGTGTGTCAGGTACATGTACCAACTCACTAGGTATGTAATCATTATGTATTGTAAACTTGTATTAATAAAAAATAAAAATTGAAAAGAAAAGTAGAAAAGGTCCCTAGGACAGTAGCAAAAACTAGAAATAAGAGAAGGCTGATCAAGTTGATCAAGTAATTTACAATACAAATAAATTTATAGCTGTGTGAAGGAAAAAGAATTATGTGATTTTAATTGTTCATAGAAACAGTGCTATCCTGGACAAAAAGGTACAACAGCTGAGAAGCCTGATATAATCATCACGACAGTTAGGGGGTCCCTTTGATTTTCACTCCCTTCTTGGAATTTTTGATACTTTTTTTTGTCTTCTTGAGACAGGGTTTCTCACTATGCAGTTCAGGCTGGGCTTGAACTCACTTTATAGCCCAGGATAGCTTCAAACTCACAGTGATCCTCTTACCTCTGCCTCCTGAGTGCTGGGATTATAGGTGTGTCACCACATCTGGCCTTTCTGCTACTATTTTGAATGTTATTATAAAGAAAAATCATTTATCTAAAAAAAACCCCAAAAATCTAAAAGTGAAATCGATAGCACTATCTAGGATTTATGTAAAGAATAATGGAAATATATTATTATTATTAAAAGTGACTGCTGTATTTAGTAGAATCTTTATAAATATTTTTATATCTGAACATTTATTTTTAAATACTTCTGAGAAAAATCCCACTGGTAGCCTGTCCTGCAAGGTAGGCATCCTTGGCCCCCTCCCCCTGCCCTTTCTGAGGTATTGGGGATGGAACCCAAGGCCTTGAGCATGCTAGGCAAGCACTACACTGCTGAGCTATACCCTAGGCCCTATTTTTTCTATTTTTATTTTGAGACAGAGTATCACTAACTTGCCCACGCTAGCCTTGAACTTGAGATCCTCTTGCCTCAACCTCCTGAGTAACTGAAATTATAGGTATGTACCACTGTGCCTAGCTGCTCCCTGATCTTTGGGGGGACAGCTTTCAGTCTTAACACTGGGTGTGAATGTATTCACTCTACTGAATGGTTAAAATGGTGTATTTTGCTGTGAACATTTTACTACAATGAAGAAAACATTATAAGGGGCCTTTTGACTCAAGCTGGGCTTTGAGTAAGAGGCAACACTAATGCTGAGCACCTGAGCTAGTGTTGCTCCCTAGGGCCCCAGAAAAGCCATCCAACTTATGGATACAGATACAGATACAGGCCAGAGAGCTGCCACAAGGATGCCAGACTGACAAGGCCAGCCAAGAGCTCCCTACCACACTCAGGCCCAGTGCTGTCTGCAGCTGGAAGGCCTCCTGGCTGTCAAGGAAACACCTGTGAGTTCTTGATGGCAAAACATCATTGGCTTACACCAGGGGAAGTGACAGCAGCAGAAAATCTGGCAATAACCACTCTAAGAGATAGCTTGGCTTGGGCAGGAGAGGATAAGACAGTGGTGGCAGTGCTGAAGGTTCTGGGAGCAGAAGTACTTCCAGACTTGCCCTATGTCATGAGGCGGCTGCCCTCACAAAGCTATGGCTCACTCCAGAGCATGAGAATGAAGAAACACTACCCCTGAGGGATCTGCCTGAGATTGAGTACAGACAGAGACATCAAGTAGAACTGCTCTTTGTCCAGTAAGCAGACGCCATTGACATTGCAGCCCCCTCCCCAATGGCTGCTGAGGGAAAGAGGTGCTCAGGCTGCACCCTGGGATCTTACAGCTCTTCACAGAGCAGGGCTGCAGGCAGCAAGGTGACTCACAGCCACCTAGGTAGCACTTAGCTGCCCATCGATGCCTTGGGAAAACAGAAGGGTCAGGCAGCAAGAGGACAGGGCCCATGAGCTCAACTCCACGTCGGCACTACAAAGGACTGACTGTACATCTGTAATGTGGAGCAGAGGTGCTGGCAAATGATCACTCTCTAAAGATGTTCCTAGAGCTGGACACAGTGGTGCACAGCTGTAATCCACCACTGAGGAAGGCTGAGGCAGGAGGGTTGTAAACTCAAATCTCACCTTGGCAACATAGAGAAACCTCAAAATAAAAAAATAAAAAAGGACTAGGGCTATGGCTCAGTGATAGAGGTCCCTAGGTTTAATTCCTAGTACTGCTCCCAAAGGTGAGAGGGAACCCTAGAAAGTATTAGATTGTCTAGGAGGGGTTTGGAGCAGGACTGGAATGAGCGCTGAGGGCACGAGGCTTCTTTTTTTTAGGGGGGTGGTTCTTTGCGGGTTGAGAAGATTTCACAAACAGTGCTAATATTTGTACAACCTGTGAGTAGACTGAAACCCATGACTGGTATATTGTAAGGGGGTGAAATTAATGGTATGAGAAATCTACTTTCATAAAGTTGTTAAAAAAAAAAAAAAAAGCAAGCAAGCAAGCAAGCTCCTACAGTGGACGAGATGGCACATGCCAGTAAGCTACTCAGGAAGTTGAGGCAGGGTAGGAGGATCACAAGTTCAAGGCCAGCTTGGGCAACTTAGTGACACCTTGTCTCAAAATTAAAAATAAAAGGTGCTGAGGATGTAGCTCAGTGGTAGCATGCCCTAGGTTCAATCCCCAGTACTACAAAATAAATAAAATTAAATGGAGTTGGGGTACAGCTCAGCAGTAGAGCACTTGTCTAGCATGCACAAGGCCTTGGGTTCAATTACCAGTACTGAAAAAAAGTTTCTAGCCCCTGAGGACACAGAATTTTTCTTTACCACAACAGAAAGCCCCATCATCACAGAGCTGCAGGCAGGGTTGCTTGTGTTTACCTAGGAGGTCGGCCCCTTCATCCACATCCCCGATGACCTCCGACCCAGCCGTCGACAGCTCGTGGTACAGCGAGTCAGTATTGATGCCAAAAGCTTTGTTGACAATTCCCTGGGTTGGGCTGTAAGGATAAAGACCAGGAAAACATAGTCAGTGGACAGCATGTATCAGCTGTCCATCTGGACCCTGTTAAACCTTCCAACCACAGGTGGTGTTATGGTTGGGATCTGAAATGTTCCCCCAAAGCCCCTGTGCTAAAGGCTTGGTCCCCAGCCCATAGTGCTACTGGGAGATGGTGCAACCTTTAAGAAGTGGATCTAGTGGAAGGAAGTGAGGTCACTGGGGGTGTTCCCTTGAAGGGACCATGGGGACTCTTATCCCACGATATGCTGCCTTACCACCATATGCAGGCCCAAAGCAAGGGTGACCATGCACTGAAACTTGTGAGCCAAAATAAACCTTTCCTCCTTTAAGCTGATTATCTCACATATTTGGTATGGTGACAGAAAACAGATGTTCAAAGTCAAGACTGCACCACGGGTGCAAGTGTGGTGGGAGACACCACAGGCAGCAACTCAGGTGCACTGAGCTCTGTCTAAGGGCCTTACTGAATGAGTACCTGTTTCCCGTGCGGTCCAGGCGGGTCTCTGGGCACATATCCAGCTCTGGGGTAGAGTCGATAATGTCCTGAACATCAGACCACTCGTCACTGCTGCCCATGCCTAGGGCAGAGCAAAGGGAACCTGGGGCCAAGGGCCAGCCCACTACCTTTGCCTTGCTTGCAACTGCCCTCTGTCCTCATCAAGCATAGCACTTGAGAGTCCTGCTAGGGGAAGGCCCATTGAGGCCTATCTGCACAGGACAGCTCAGCTCTGGGCCCACCCTGCTGCAAACTTAGATCTCAACAAGCCATAAACAGCACCTCCTTTTCATGGTCAAATTGAAACAGGCCAAATGTCATCTTCTCTCTAGTTATACGCTCTTAGATGATTCTATGCTGATGTGTCTTCCCCACAAATTTTTATGTTGCCAGAGTCACCATATATGGGTGACAGTCACCATATATGGGTGACAGATATATGGGATGATCAAGGTAAAATGAAGTCACTAGGGTAAGCTTTAACCCAACATGATAGGGGTCCTTCTGAGAAGAGATGAGGATACAAACACACACAGTGAGAAGATGGCCAATTGCAAGCCAGGGGGGCAGCCTCAGGAGAAGCCAGCCCTGCTGTACTTTAGCCTCCAGGACAATGAGGAGACAAGCTTTTGTTGTTAACTGCCCATCAGTGGCATATGTTATGGAAGCCTGAGGTGACTAATACATCTGCCAACACTAAAAACCAAAGAGGAAGAGAACCCTCCCTGGTGGGGTGCAGCAGGTGGTCTGCAGTCCCTGTAGGACTCAGTAGGGTTAGGGTACAGAGCTGGCACATACCTATGCTGACATTCCGCACCTCCTGGGTGACTTGGACTTCCATGTTGCGGCTGTTGCGCTTCTCTCGGGCCCGCTTGCCGTTCTTTGTGCCACTACCGTAATCCCCCAGGGGCTGCAGGCTCTCATTGAGTGGTGTGACTGCAGCCGAGGGCACAGAGGACGTGGGTGTGTTGGACTTGGTGCCTGTGGTGCTGGGTGTGGCAGCTGCTGAGGACTGACCTGACTCAGACATCTCATCGTGTGGACACTAGGGCCGAACACAGGGAGGAAGGACACATGTCATCACGAGCCACAGTGCTTTGGTTCCAGGGGTGGCCACCAAGGCCCCACTGCTCCACTCCTTTGCCACTTTGCTGCAATCAAACAATACTGCTCCCTGTTCCTTCTGCTGACCCATCGGGCTAACCCTTTCAGCCTTGCCACTCCTGAGTTGTCTCGCTCATCTGCCAAATGCTTCTTGCAGCCACTACCTTACTAAATGGATTGGAATGGTGCTTCTAGCTTGTACCCTCCTCAGGACAGTCTGGCAAAACATGACCAATGGGTGTGATGCTACAAGAAGACATGGTAAGAGGACAGATGGGTGACCTCTGCAGTCAGTGTTGGTCAGGTACCAACTGCCTAGGGACCAGAAGGGCTTTTCTCAGAAGGGATGACAAAGCCATGCTGTATGCAGGGATGGCCCCACTACTCCTCCTGCCTCTGGCAGAAGACAGGGGTAGTAGAGGGCCACAGCTTTTTACCAATTCTGTGGCCTTGATGCATGGGACTGTATCTCATAGCTCAACTGAGCCAAAGTTTAGTCCTGAATATCAGCACATGTTCAAATGGCCTGAAATTCTTTTTTTTTTTTTTTTTTTTTTTTGCCTTTTTGAGACAGGGTCTCACTATGCAGTTCAGGCTGGCTTTGAGCTCACTTTGTAGCCCAGGCTGGTCTCGAACTCACAGGGATCCTCCTGCCTCAGCCTCCTGAGTGCAGGGATTACAGGAGTGCGCCACCACGCCCAGCCTGAAATTCTATTTTGATAGAATGGGACATTGCCAGATGCTTTGTGGAGAAAGTCCCAGCTATCACAAACTACAATCAGCTACTTACCTTAAGAATCTCATTAGGGAGGAAGACATTCTATTTGAATGGTATGGGACATGTAACATATTCTTTTCCTATAGTCTTTCCTGATGAAAATATTTGACAGTTTCACTATCATAGCCGCCAAATGCTCTTCCATAACTACTGACAATCCCTAAACAGCCCTGTGCAGGTGTCCAGGCTTTTGTACTTTCCTTGCTTCTCTCTCAGACCTGCCTTGTGGTACAGGAGAGGTATGGCTGGGGTGGAGGACTGAGACAGCTCTCTGAGCATGGCCCAGGCAGACAGCTGACCTGTGTTCTTAGGCTTCCCAAGGAAGGAGTGGATAAAGGAGGAAAGTGTGCAGTTCTGTTGAGAGCCATATGAATGCAGCACCTGAACTAAGAAGTATACACCTGGGTCCCTGAATCATAGCCGGTTCTTCAATTTGCCTTTGCCTGACCCACTGAGTCCCCAGCAGGCTAGGGTAAGGGCTTTTGGTAGTGGACACCACTACTTGTTCAGAAGACAGACTTCTGGTTTCATCTACTATGCTCCTGAATTTCTACAAAAGGAGTCTCAAAACCTGTCAGGTATTTTGTCAAGAAAAGGAAAAGCTGACTGATACATTTATTTTCTAAACTTTCATAAGGGATTGATTTCCCCATGCATGAATATCGTCCCTCCTCTAACTTCTACAATATAGCCTTTTGAGCCGTTTCTAAAAACTTCATTTCTTCTAAAGAGATCCTTTGTTTTAGGCCTGATACAGTATGATGAAGTAAATAGAGAGCTGGCTTGAAAATGAACTCTAAGTGTCATTAATATTCTATTCTGTTTCATTGTATATAATTATATGTATCGATACTTTTATGTTTGATTCAGGTAGCAATACATGCCATTTATGGTATTATATGCTGTTCTTTTTTTGCATTTTGTTATAATTTAATAAACAACCTTTTTAGACATTTTGTTGTAATCTAATAATCAACTTTGCACCAACTTTTTTTGTACTAATTTTATAATTTAAAAATAACTTTTGCTGCTTTTTGGTATAATTTAATAAACAATTTTTTTGTGTATTCTATTCTTAAACATTATTTTTAGAAACAATGAAAAAAAAAAGAAGTCTCAAAAATCTCACATCTTTTTCTACAGCAGCAGCTCTAGACTGTAGACAGTTATGCCCCAGCTCCCCCAGAGATGCTTGGCAAAGACAGGGAGAAGTTTTACTGTCACAACGGAAGAGGGGGTGTTTCTGACATGGAGTGGATGGATGCCAGGGATGCCGACCAACATCCTATGGCACCAGGACGGCCCCATAGTCATGCACCATCCTGCTCCAAACATCAGCAGTCCCAAGGGGAAAAATAGCATGCTAGCACATATTCTAGCTTTCCTCAAGTATTTCTGCATTAATATCTTAGATAGTGGTTTAGACTTGGGGATGAGGTTTAGGTACAACCTGAGGAGGGAGAGTCCTTACGTTTTGTATCACAAAGGTTGGGAGAGGCAACGGTGGCCCCCAAATCTCTGGAGATGAAGCTCTGATACAGCAAAGGCACTGGGTACCCCCTAGTGTGCCCAGAATAGGGCACAGTGTGACTCCATGAAGGCTAGGCAGAATACAGGGGCGTGAATCAGATACACATTTCCAGACCTCCTCTTCCACCGTCAGGTTTCTTACCTGTTGTGACTCTGGTGGTCACTGTCGGTGTATTTGGCGACACCGCTCCCAGAACCCCAGCTCTGTTACTCTATAGGGCTACCACTTACCCAGGGGATACCCCCTGGCCACCACTTACCTAGGCCAAACCTCTCAACCTCCTAAACATCAACGTGAAGCAGTGACCTCCAAATGTATTGCAAAGAACCCACACTCTTAGCGGTCATTCCTCACCATGAGTAGCCACAACTGTTTGGTTAAAACACTACAGTACATAAAAACAAAAAACAAAACAAAAAACAAAAAAGTTAAGAAATTAGAAAAACCTTAAAACTTGGAGAATGAAATAAAAAGAACTTAAAATGTAATTGTTTAAAAAAATAAAAATCAAACAAAACACACTATGAACTAAAACACAAAATGCTATGATTTATGGAGAAAAACTATTTCAGACAATGCAGTAGAGAAAAGACAGACATAGTAAGAAAGACTGATCCAGACACAGGCATGAGCAGGGTGCCCAGGAGCCAGAGGGTCAAGCAAGGTATTGGCTCTCTATGGCTTTGGCAAATGGTTACGGGGCAAGCCTCCACCACAGGCCCAGTGTGAGCACGAGTGATGAAGTGAGCGAGTGAGAGAGAGCAGTCAATGTAAAAGACAGGGCCTCGCCTAGACAGCCAGAGGACAGCCGGGTCCCCATGGGCCTCACTGCCTTCTCCCCAGGTCACAAATACTGTCAGAACAGTGAGAGATGGGTGTGAGTGTCCCCACATCTCGAAGACACACACACGCCTTAGGACAAAAGTAAAAGTAGTAAGTCACTTTCCAACAGAGTCAGCAACATACAGCAGCCCCTGCAGATAAGCTGGACAAAGGCAGAAAGACAGTTTGCCAAGAGCAGCAGTAGAAAAGACACCTAAGAAGCCCTGGGCCCCACAGCCAGTAGCCCCACCAAGTACGGAAGCCTGGGGTTTGGCTTCTGCAGGAGTCCTCCAGTGGCCTGTGAGAAATTCACCAAACTAAGGTCAGCTCTTCTGCCCTAGGAAGGTGACCACTTTACCTGGCAATGTAGCTAGCATATTGCCCTGCTATAGCTGCTTTCCAGGGTCTGAGCACACAAACCTCAATAGCAGCAACTGACCTGGCCCTGAATGAGTGACCTGGTCTCCCCTGGACCCCATGTTTGGGGTGTACTCACTGGATGGCTGTGCAGACTAGTGGGCAAGTGGATAGGTTTCAACTCACAGCCAATATCCATTACCAGTAACAAGAAGGTAAGGGCTTGTGGAGGGAGCCATCACCTTGCCTTTATCTCCTCCCAGCTGAGGTCCAGTGTAGAAGTAAAGGCAGCTCTCAGGAGCAACATGCATCCTGGCTACAGTCTGATCTGAGGGGAAGGTATGTATTTTCGGGTATGGTCTGGCAGAGGGTTGCTAAACTCAGCCCTAACAGACAGTGGTTCCACAGTGGTCCATTCCACCAGGCACTAATACAAAGCTGCACAGAGAAGCTGCAACAGCACAGGGTCCACTTTAAGGCCTGTCCCTTGACACTTGGTTTCTCTTCCCTTGTCAGTGAGACAGTTGCATGCAGAGACTGGGCTCCTCTACACAGGTGTAGGACACCAGTGAAGGGACCCTCACTCCATGCACGGCTACAAAACCTGGTAGCTGGAGCTGGACTGTAGCTGGCCGAGGTCATTCAGGTGCCAGTGGTCCCCCGCAGGCATGAGCTTTCCCCCCATCTGTGCACGTACCATGCCGTCAGCCAGGGGGAAGACATTCAGAGAGGTAGGGCGCTCTTTCCTGCTGGAATATGAAGGAGAGAGGGAGAGGAAGTAGGTGGTTATCAGAGATGCAAGAGAAACAAAATCTTTGTATTGGTACATGGACATTTATCTGGTGGACAGCACTGTTCAAATGCTGCCCTGCAGCCTGCTCAGGAGGACATGGCCAGCTGACAGCCCACAATCCTACACATATAACCTTTTTCCTTCTAACACATGATTTATCATTTTGTTTGGCTCAATTTTAAGTGTCGTCACTAGAAATCCCACAGCAGTCCCAGTGTGGGACCTTTGGCAACATAGCCAGCACTGACTGATGGCCTAGAGTGAATTTTATGATGATAAAGCCCAGACTTGCCTTCCCACAACCATGGCCACCAGCTCTGCCTTTGCCTCCTGGGGCTAACAGAGGAATCAATCCTTTTCTGGCTCTCTGCTTTTTGCTTCCCCATCAATCCTATGGTTTTTCATAAAGCCTTCTCACTGTAAAATGTTTAAATAGTTGTGTCCAGAGTCATGAAAATTAAAAAATCTCTGTCCTGTCTATAGAAGCCCATGAGGGAGGGGCATCTCCTCTTTCAATACAACCATCCCAGCTGTCCTGGGAGCACGGAGAGAAACATGGGTCCTTTTGAGGCTCTAGTAATAAACCAGGAACATCAAGTAGACTGGAGTCACAAGAGCAAAGCTCACTGTACCAGTATGGGCTGAGTCCAGGGAAGGCTTTCAGTGGGCTGTAAATAGCAGTGGGGAGAGAGGCCTGGGAACTACCCTCTTGGGACAGACTGTGTCCACACTGCTTAGAGCTGTTCAGGTCAAGAACTAGCACCTGCTCGCAGTACAGTCTCTGACACTCATTCCTAGAGAAGACTGGGGGCACTTCCTTCACATCCAAGGGAGTATGGTGCAGAGGTTAGCCTGCTCTAAAGGAAGGATATGGGGCTCTCTCACTGGCACTTTGAGGATTCACAGAACAGAGAGGGCAGGAGAGTGGTGGGGCAATGACTGAACTTTCTGCAGCTGGGAGGAAGAAGCATGAAGCATGATTCTAGGAAGGAGTCTCCTGACTGGGAGTACCTGTGCAGTTCTAGGGACCAGCCAACTGGCCTGCCCTGTTCAAGACAGTGGTGTCTTCTATAGCAAGAGGGTCTCCAGTGCTCCGTGGGATTTGGCTGGCTGTCTTAGCTGCTAGACTGTAGCAAGGACAGAACCACAGAGGTAGCATGCTCCATAAGAGGCTGGGGCAGAGGAGGCATACCCAGAAAGAAGGCATTCTCTTGTGGCTGGCTCTCAGGACCCCTTGGCAAAGGACATGTCTGGGCCTGTCCCTGTAAGAGCCAGAGAAACTCAGATCCTGAAAAGGATACCAGAGTTGGAAAATTCTGTACCTGCCAATCCACCAGACCTCCGTGATTCAGCTCCACTAGAACTGTGCAGGAAACAGCCCATAAGTCCCCGTAGGATACCACTGGCCCATGAGGGGAGCAGGACAATGCCTGGCCTGTCCTTGCAGGCTCTGGGCCAACTTGACTACGTTTTGCCTCCCTTGGGCTCCCAATTCATGTAGAAGAACACCCTGAGGCCCAGTTCTGAACCCATTAAGCACTTCTACTCATGACCTCAGGTAAAAAGCATTTGTGTCCCTAGGTCACAAGCCAACAAATCATGGTTGTCACTAGATGCTATTAAGACAGCTGGGAGTATGAGGAAGGCTCCTGCCTCACAGGATGGGGCAATGAATACACTACAGGTCACAGACTTCTACTGTCCAGCCAGCCTGCTGGGTCCATTAGAAATCAATCTATATCTAGGAACATATCTTTTCTCACTTCTTCCTGCGAACACTCGGTGGCACTGCCAACTGACAGGAATGTCCAAAGCTTGGCTTTTGTGTCTTCTTTTATCTGCACAGCTCCCTGGGCAGTCTTGAGTGGCTGTTCACTTTAGAGACCACTTCCTGCAGAGGACACACTGCTGACAGGGGTCATAGTCCAGCAAAACTGAGCTGAAGCTGGGTGCAACAGCATACTAATCCTAGCACTTGGGAGATGGAGGCAAGAGGAGCACCTTGAGTTCAAGGCTGGCCTGGGTATAGAAACATTAGATGCTGGAGCAGACAGGATGCTTCCACCTGCCTACTATCTCTGGAAACAACTGGTGCTCTGGCTGCCTGCTGCTCACTGCTGTGAGTTGCTGCCATGATTTTATTTACAATAAGGGAGAAGTTTGCTGAATGTGGACAGAATTTGAGTCAGGCCTGGACAACTCAGGGAACTCCTGCCCACTACATACTTTGTGCCTGTGCTAGGGATTTGCTGATCAGCCTGTGACCTTCTCAGTCACAGCTATATGAATGCACCTGACAAGTATTTCTAATCCACAGCATCAGCTGCACAAAGCATTCTGATGTAACTAAGGAATCGGGTGCCTGTGATTAAGGCACTGGCCTGTATTTACTCTGCCCTTGGTCAACCCCAGCACCACAGTGGACAAAGACCCGCAGGTTTACCTTTTCCTCCACGACTGGCGAGGACTGCAGGGCAGCAACAGACACAATGGCCAGCACACAGCAGCGACAGCACAAGAGCAGGACAAGAAGACTATATTAGAGAGTGAAGATCAGGCCAGCTCTCGCCTGTGCATGCACTCCCAGGGAGAAGTGCATGACGACGATAGTGGGCATCCAGCGGCCCATCCTGTGCTGCCCTCTACACAAACAACAGTGATTACACACAGGTACCTGCAAGGACAGACACATGGCACACAAACCCTCTTGGCTCCAACAAGAGGTTGAGATGGGACTTGTGAGCAGATCAGCAAGCAGTGGGCACACACCTGTCACAGGGCCCCAGGCACACATGTGCAAGGCACATGGGGTGACAGCACACACACAGACACACGTGTTGTGGCTCACACTCATCCTTAGTAATGGCCAGGCACAATCAGTGTTTGAGATCCCACTCAGTTCATCCCAGAGACATACAGACTCTGAAAACCACGCTAGGAGTGCAGGAAAAGGCCTCGTGGAGTGATCAGTGGCTCAGAATGAGGAGGCATAAGAGCCTTGTGGGGACCTGGAAGAATCTGAGCTCAAAGGGGCACAGACTTAAGGACAAAGGCTGTGATGGGAGAGTCTAGGCCAAGGAAGAGTGTGCAGGCTCTGGCTGGAACAGAGATGAGTGGGGAGGGACTGCTCACCTCACCCACCTGACAAAGCAGCAGCACAGGTCATGAAGGACTGTCCTCACACTTGAGCCCTATGAGGCACATGCCCTACAGGGTAAAAGTGGGGCATGCTTTCTTCACTGAAACCAGCTACTTCCTCTGCATGTGTCAGGCAGAAACTGCAGTCCACACCCAGGCGCCCTAGATAATTTTGTTCCCAGTGGGGGCTTCATGAACAGGAACTGCAGCAGGAGGGCACAAGCCAGAGGAAGCTCCTTATGTATGCCTCAGGGAACAGTCTATGGGCTGGGGAAGAAACTCAATGCCACCAGATTACTGGGAAGGATGATGGGGACAGCCCAGACCCATGGCGCTGGCCCTCTTACTTCCTGTCTCTCCAACCCTAGGTACATATGTCACAGCCTAGGCTTGCAGAGACAGCAGCCACTAGCCCCACTGTTCAACTCAGCTGCAGGCATCCTTTCTATATGCCATGGAGACTAGTGTGGGGCAGTCAAGCAACAGAGCTCATGAGGTATGGGGACTGTGGTAACATGGCTACTCATACCTTGGCCTTACAGAGCCTCTCCTGGCAGCATAGATGGGGGCCACCAAGGCCTAGTAAGTGTCAGTATGAACAAGATGTCCCTCCCTCTCTTAGACAGGCTAGAAGGTTTAATTTGTTAAAGGAAAGGGCTCCCAGGGCTTATACAAGGCATGGAGAAAGAGTCTCCTGCCAGCCTTTCACTGAAGGTATCACTCTGTTGCTGGGCACTGAAAGCCTCTGCTCCCCAGAGGACGGATGGTAGAGGTCAGTCCACGGGACCTGGTAATGGCAGCACAAAGCAGACTTACAGACCCAGCCCTTACAAAACAGGTCACAGGGCTGCTGTGCAGCCAAAGGCGGACCCATGAATGAGGCCCTATGTGTCCAGCACCAGGCCATGGGCTCCTTCAAGAACCGTAGGAGCTTCCCACAGCTGGCTTGCCAGGGAGCTGGAGCTAAACTCTGGTGCCACAGAGCAACTGTAGGGAGAGAGGAAGTACAGGGCTCAGGACAGCGGGTTCCTCAAGGACATCTTGGCAGCAGGTTTCCCTCCCCACAGAGATGTCCAAAACATACCACATCCTGCCCTGAACTGCACTTTTTATAGCAGATGAGGGAATAGTAGCCAGAATGTTTTACAGTGGCTTTAGAGTTTGGGTGGTTTCAAACTTGGCTCAGCCTGACTTTTTGCTCAGCCCACAGAATCCTTGGGGATCTACTTATATAGATAGCATCTACAGGGCCTGGGGTGCTGATCAACGTGACATAGGATCCTGAGTACTCATTGCCTACAGTCCTAGGTTGAAGTCAAACTGCCTAGGATCTGGAGACACACTGGGCCATGCTCCCTGCACTCTCTACCACATGGCCTCCAAGTGTCCCTCTCTAGAAGGGCACTGGTAGCAGATAGCTGGAAGGCTGTAGAATGGTGTAGGTCTCCTAGGAAGATGCCCAACCTGCCCAACTTCTTCAGTTTGGACTGCTCTGTTCAGCTCCCCATAAAAAGAACACAAAGACCCCGGACTCCAAATCAGAATTCAAGTCCAGTTATTTGGAAATCCTCTTAAGCATTCTGAAGGTCAGAAATTAGGTTTTCAGGGTGCAGAAGAGAAAGTTTCCTAAGCCATGAACTAGCAACTTGGGATTCAGTATTTCTGTC